TCTCAAAATTTTGTTTTCTTTATACATTTTGAATGTTTCTTACATGTAAATATTGTACATCTAGCATATTTTAAGTTCGAAAAACTAAAGAGTTTGAGTTTTGTTTAATTGTCCGGTGATTAAGTCGATTCCGTCGAAAGAACACTTGCTTTTTCACCATTTTTATCATTTCTCCAACTCGCCAGAAATCTCTTAATCTATTAACTCTAATCTCTCTACTTGATAATGAAGCAAAATCAATTATTTCACTACAAAATTTCAGATTTAAAATAAAATTTCCTTTGATTTTAGTATAAAGAGCAGCTCGCCTTTGTACTCGGATTATTTCATTTCTTTTTCTTTAAATTCTGATTTTTTAAAATTTTTTATATGTTTAAGTAAAAAAAATATATAATCATTTTTTCTTTCATGTAGTTTGGTTGTAGAAGAGTTAAGAAACGTAACCAAACAAGAATAGTTGTTCTCTAAGGGTAATTTGGTCCCAAATAGCTCAATTGGCTATTCTCTGAAAGGTCAATCTCACTTTGCCAAAACATGAGAACAAAACTCAAAATATTGTTTTACGTGAAAATAACTTTTGTTTTAACTGGCCAGTATTTCAACGGCTTTGATAAACCGATGTCATTGGTTGATTTATTATAGATGAATTTATTGAAGTATGATTTGTTAATACCAGTTATATTTCAGAATACATTAGCTCTGAAACCTCTGATCGTGAGAACTGCGGTTTCAATTAAGAACATAATTCTAAAACTAAAAAAGTTGATTTAACATTTTAATGGGTTGCAGTCTATCCTACAAAATTTTCTTATTGTATAATAAAAATATGTTTGGGAGAAATAAGACATTTTGATTACTGGCTGATGGATAACTATCAACTCTAAAGTTAATATATTCTTGTGTCCACGGGAAAAAGGTAGAAAACGCATTATTTGTTTCTATTTATACAGAGAAATGAGCCAAAAATGTAAGAAAGAATAGAGAGAGAAAAAACAGAAATGACAAGACAATTGTAAAGAAAAAACAACGACAGTGTTTGCCCATAAACTTATGCTTTTGTCATTACGATATCTTTGATCGAAACATGTACAATTGTTTCTATAAAAAATCATGCTTTTTGCCTTTTTAAAATGCATTGTATGTCCGCTCTTTAATTACTTTTATTAAAAGCTCGAACATTATGATTTTAAAGAAATTCAAATTATTTCAAAAAAAAATTCCTACAATTGTGAAAATAATAGTGACATATCAACGTAAAGTGTGTCTACTTCTTTAAACAAGGATCTGCTCACATGCATGATGCATGCAGTAAAGATATATACATAGATATAGATTGATCGAATAGGACCAATTATGCCGACGTACATGCATGTGCCTATTAATTATCTTCTCACAATGCACCAATTATTTTCTGGATTATCACTTTTTCAAGCTATGATTATGGAATGTAACTAAATTATGTATAGAGTCGTGTTTAATTTGAAACACTCTCAATTGCATGTAATAATATCCTCAGATTCAATCTTTATTTCTCTTTTTAACACAATTGTTACTTTCTATATTTTCCCTATGCATTACGTAAACTCGTGAAAGACTTGCTTGTTATAATATTGTAAATAACCGGTGAATTTCACATCCTTCATCCTCGCATGCGGTATATTTTGTTTGTGTGTTGATAAAGTTGAATTGAACAAACCAAATTGTCGTATATATACGTACAGAAAAACTTAAAGTTGTCGAAATTATTGCGGAATGGTTGATGCCAAGAAGGGTCCCAAGTCTATATTATCCAAAGTTATCATCTCAAAATCGTCAGCAATGAAAAACCATAAAAAAATATATATATCGTCAGCAATGTTACGCCATGCCTTTTTTGGATCTGATCTATATCTCTCTCTTTAACATATAATTGTCTTCTGTGTTTTCATTTTGAAAAGAAGTTGAATTGGTCAAATTTCGTTATTTTGTACTAAACTAAACACGTTTAGTAGATCTATTTTTTAATAATCAAGGAAATCTCAGGCAAAAATGTAAACTAATCATTAACGTATGTAAAAAAAAAAATTGTGTTAGTATGGTAATAGTCATAATAAGACTAATCATTTTTTTGTTTCAGCTGTTTGAATTCTTTTCTATAAAGTTTGTTGGTTTACCGCGAAACTATCGCCAAAATTGATCCAATGATCATGACATTATCACTCATTCAACTATGTCGTCCAGTAAATGGCTAGTTTGAATTAAATGTGCGAGTTCTAAATTTTGATTGTCAAATTTAACAAACTAATTTTAGGATTTAAAAATGGCATCTTGGAATATTATCATTTATCAGTATTGAGTACTATTGCCTACCTAATTCAAGGTCTGTTAAGTGTTAACCATAGTCAACTTGAGTACGTACTGTCTACTGTGTAATATTGACTTTAATTATGGACTATTGACAACAAATTAACGTGTACGTATCTACTGAATACCGCCGACTATGTATACTGACCATATATATAGTGTTTCACGTACATATAAACATCCTATATTTTAATGTTTATATGAATATTAAAAATATTATTCTTTCATATATACATATTTTTTTTCTTCTTATACCAATATATTAGTTTAAATCATGTGAGATTCAATAATTTCAATTCAAGGTAAAAAGAAGTTACATACTAATTAACTGAGTGTTAATTTATAGGGGACAATAATATCATGTAGTGAATAAATAATCAGCCTTCTAAAAACATAATGATAATAATAATTATAAAAGTCACCCTTCGAATAGTTTAATATATACTACATATATATACAGGTCAATAGGAGAGATAGTTGAAGTGACTATTCTAATGAACAATTTGTTCTCAAGAAAAACAATTGTTCCCGAAATGTCTAATCAAAGATAATGCATGATCCGTGCGATTAATTAGTCTCTTCCTAAAATAGTGACTATCTTCTTTTCATTTCGTTAAGTTATTTATAATTATTGGTCCATTCGGCTTTTTAATCACACTATTATCGTTAGTCTTAGTACTATTTATTCTAGGCCCACATGTCGAGCGACCCAACGCCATGACCGAATTTATATTATATCATATATGCATACTGTTTATAAATGTTCTTGGTGTTAAAACATAAATGTATATACAGTTGATGCATTCGTGTTTTAAAATTCCAGAGTCTTATTGTGGTAAACAAATAGACTATATATTATAGTGAAAACTAGTGTTGTATGTCTATAATTTCAGTATTAGTCTATTTCAGTTTTGACAACTCATCATCCAAAAAACAAATTATAGTAATCATATAAAATGTAGAAACCTAGTTCAGTCTGCACTGTGGCATACCATTTCAAACTCGAATGATTAAATGTTAAGTCCTTGGTAATTTCTTTTTCTTAGTTTGAAAATATGGTTTACCAAAAAACGGGGGAAAAAAGAATTAAAGTTTTGATGAATTGCAAACACAAAAGAGAGGGAACAGCAAATGTTAGTGACATGATGATCAATTTCCCAAAAAAAAAAAAAAAATTGGGCGGGTGGAAGTAGAAGATTAAAGTCTCGAAACCATATTAAAAGGAGATTGGTGACAGAAGTGCTCTATAATCACCGTTGTTTTAAGAAATAACGAATTGTCATGAAATATAAAAGACAAACCCAAATGAATTAAATGGAGCAAGTTGGGGAGGGTACAGCACGAGCGACGATCATGAACCCAAATGAAATTGTGTTTTAGGGTGCTGATATTTATAAACTTGGGTGAAGTCATTGTTTTAAATCATGTTTTGGCTGTTATCGATGAATACACTAGTAAAACAAGAAAGAGTTCTAGTAAGACAAAAGTTGCTTAAGTTCTTATAATTTTATTAAAATAACTATACCCTATTTTTACCGCACAATACTCCTTCTAATTTTAAGAGCCTTAATTTTTTCAAATCAATAATAAATTAAAATTAGATAGCTTAAAATGTCTCATATTTATGGTTAATTATTCTATATGTTGTTAACTAGTAGTAAAATTCACAAGACCATTCAAATTACAATAATCCTTCGTTGCCAGCCTGCCACGAAAAAACCTATCAGTCTAATATTGGGACTGTTAATTTTTGTTCAATGTAATTAATTTAAATTTAATTTCAATGCATACACGTGAATTTGAACATCTTTTCATAGGATTTGCAATTCCGGATTCTCATCCGTCCTAGGAGGTTGTATATGTATATTATTGGTAACTAGAGCGCGCATTAAACAACTTTAACACTAAGTACGATGATATTATATGTATAGATATGCTATGGATTGATATAAGGAAAAACTAAAAGGAGAGCGGATGAATGTGAATGGAACTAATTAAGAGTGTATTAAGTAGGCTTGTATCCGAGAGTCAACTTAAACTTAATAGTTGAAACCAATGAGGAGAAAAAAAATACAATTAATCATAATTATAATCAACGTGATGGTTTGACGATTTGATATCTAACTTTCTTCGTTATAATTGAGAAATAATATTCGCACTAAATAGCATAAATTGAAAAATTACCTTACGTCATAAGATTATCAACTTGCCTCCAAAACCAACAACATGATCCCCTAAGCTACATATTATATAAAGAAAAAATTCTTAAAATCACAATTAATCAAAAAGTCACTCCGTTATTAGCGTTATAAGCAAAGCTTATTAGTATATTTGACCGTCATTATCGACGACCAAACAAAGAAAGAGTCACAAGCAAATGAGCCACGTAAGTCCAGAACGACGCCTATGAAACCAATAAGACAAAAACCAAAACATCGGTAAAACTCTTACGTGGCGGAGACATGTGGGTCTCTTATGTCTCCATAAACTGACATTAGCTTATTTGTCGACTGTACCTTTTGTCCCCCGTCTCGGCTACAACCCTGTGACAAACAAAGATCAAGTCAAAATATCTAACCTAAAGTACTCTCGTCCACGTGGACATTGCTGACGTGGAACTTATTCCTTCTATAAATACAGGCTTCTCTTCGCCGAATTATACTCATCAAACGAGTAAAACATTTGCTAATATTAAACACTTTTGCTTTTAGAAAAAAACAAACATGGCCGTTGATTCGCCTCTTCAATCCCGGATGGTTTCACCGACAACCTCTGAGAAAGATGTGAAGGCTCTCAAGTTCATTGAGGAGATGACTCGGAACCCTGACTCGGTTCAAGAGAAGGTTCTTGGAGAGATACTTAGTCGTAACTCGAACACCGAATATCTGAAACGGTTCGATATCAATGGAGCCGTTGATCGGAAAACGTTCAAGAGCAAAGTTCCGGTGGTTACGTACGAAGATTTAAAGCCGGAGATTCAACGTATATCCAACGGTGATCGTTCTCCGATCTTGTCTTCTCACCCCATCACCGAGTTTCTCACAAGGTATATTAATTAAGTCAACTTTACCAATGATTAATATCGTTGTTATAAACATATCAATGATGTGATTTTGACAATATAAAATTATGGAATCATTTTTTATATGTATTTGCAGCTCTGGAACATCTGCTGGTGAGAGGAAATTAATGCCAACAATTGAAGAAGACTTAGACCGACGTCAGCTTTTATACAGTCTTCTCATGCCTGTGATGAATCTGTTAGTATATATAATTTAAACATTTAATTATATCTATTTTTGTAAAGATTAATTATTGAATTAACCAAAAAATGTTTAACTACTATATAGGTACGTGCCGGGATTAGACAAAGGCAAAGGCTTATACTTCTTATTTGTGAAGTCGGAGTCTAAGACGTCAGGTGGGTTACCGGCTCGTCCGGTTCTCACGAGTTACTACAAAAGCGACCACTTCAGGCGGCGACCGTACGATCCGTACAACGTATACACCAGTCCTAACGAAGCCATCCTCTGCTCCGACTCGTCTCAAAGCATGTATGCTCAAATGTTATGTGGTCTATTAATGCGCCATGAAGTTCTCCGACTCGGCGCGGTGTTTGCTTCCGGTCTCCTCCGTGCCTTAAGCTTTCTCCAGAACAATTGGAAGGAACTTGCTCGAGATATCTCAACGGGAACCCTAAGTTCTAGAATCTTCGATCCTACGATTAAAAACCGCATGTCAAAGATTTTGATCAAACCTGATCAAGAACTTGCTGAGTTTTTGATTAGTGTTTGTTCGCAAGAGAATTGGGAAGGGATAATCACAAAGATATGGCCTAACACGAAGTACCTTGATGTGATTGTTACTGGAGCGATGGCTCAGTATATCCCGACGTTGGAGTACTATAGCGGCGGATTACCGATGGCTTGCACAATGTATGCTTCGTCAGAAAGTTACTTCGGGATTAACCTAAAACCGATGTGTAAACCCTCAGAGGTTTCTTACACAATCATGCCCAACATGGCCTACTTCGAGTTCCTCCCACATAATCACGATGGAGATGGAGCAGCAGAAGCATCATTAGACGAAACCTCACTTGTGGAGCTAGCTGATGTTGAGGTTGGAAAAGAGTATGAACTCGTGATCACGACCTACGCGGGGCTCTACCGTTACAGAGTTGGCGACATTCTCCGTGTCACAGGGTTCCATAATTCCGCTCCACAGTTCAAATTCATACGAAGAAAGAATGTGTTGCTAAGCATCGAATCCGATAAAACCGACGAGGCTGAGCTACAAAAGGCAGTGGAGAATGCCTCGAGGTTGTTTGCAGAGCAAGGAACACGTGTGATCGAGTACACGAGCTACGCAGAAACGAAGACTATACCAGGTCATTACGTAATCTACTGGGAGCTACTTGGTAGAGACCAAAGCAATGCTCTTCCTAGAAACGAAGTCATGGCTAAGTGCTGTTTGGAGATGGAGGAATCGCTAAACTCGGTTTATAGGCAAAGTCGGGTCGCTGATAAATCGATTGGTCCGTTGGAGATACGTGTAGTGCAAAACGGTACGTTTGAGGAGCTCATGGACTATGCCATATCGAGAGGCGCATCGATTAATCAGTATAAGGTCCCGAGGTGCGTGAGCTTCACACCGATCATGGAACTGCTTGACTCTAGAGTTGTGTCTGCTCATTTCAGCCCTTCGTTGCCCCACTGGTCACCAGAACGACGTCGTTAGATAAAACTTTAAGAAAGATATATCAAACCGGTGATGTGCGGTTTTAGAATATAAAGCTCTGTTTCTGATTATAAGACTCCCTGTTAGATTCTTATTATGCTGTTGTGTTTAGGGTTTGTGAAACGTACAATAAAAATTGAAGTACGTACTAATGTTTTTTTCCTTTCTGTTTGTTGGAATCCAGCTAATAACTAGTTTTGGTCCAAAATCCAAATCAACATTATAAAAAATCAGCATATAATTATTAATATGTGCCCTAAATTTTTTTTAAAAACAACAACAACGAAATGTTAATCAATGTGCCCTAATACTTTCATCTTAAAGTTTGGAAACTAAAACATATTACGGTGATGTCACGTGAATTTGCTGAAATTCCACTAAACCCAAAATGTTCGTATAGTATTTGGAGGATTTAAGTCTACTCGACAACTCCGGTCAACCAACCGGCCCATTCCAAGTTGAAGCCTAATATCGGTATTGGTAAATAGTTTAATAGATAGACCAGCCCATTTCATATTGAAGCCCAATATCGGTATTGATAAATAGCTTAATGGATAAAACAACAAATAATCAATGAATTTTGTTTCTTGGTACTATATTCTAACTGCACCAATCTTACTTATAATAGCTTTTAAATCGTGTGTATAGGAAAATGGACATTTCTGTGATGTTGGTCCTTAAGATGAACATGTAGTTTGATAAGAAGTTTTCCACAATCTAGTCCTCCAATGAATCACTGAATCAAAACTCAAGTTTGAATAGTCAGAAAAAATTATGTGTACACAGTTGAAATCTAAACATACGAATATATGACAGACTTATGGCTATATCCTAGAGAACTTTTTCCAATATGACATTTGTACTAAAGTTTTGTTAGTCAATATTCTTCTATAATTACTATATTCAACATATTGGCATATTTTTAACGTGTAGGCGACATTTTTCCAAATCAATATTCTTCACCAACCGAATATTAAAATCAAGGTAAATATAAATGGTTTTTAAACCTATTAAGCATTGAAAATACACACTAGTGTTCCATGTATAATTTTAAAACTCTCAACTTGAAAAAATAAAGCTGAATCCAAATAATGACATAGCTACTGTAAATGTAATGATTAAACTATATATATCTGGTTAATTTCCTTTATTATTGTTTCTGTTGATATATTCTGGATTAGAAAAAATCGTTAGACATACACATGTTTAAAATGTTTTTAGTTTGTTTTACTTACATAACAAAAAAAAAAAACGATTTTCTCGAAATGAATAGTTCTTAGGATGTAAATAATTAGTCAAAAATCTTATCAAACTATACGAATCAACACATATATGCCCAAAAGATAACATCAAAAGTTATCGTTAACGAATTTGAACCAGAATAAGAAGAGCACAAAGAAAAACAACGCACAGATGCTTAGTTTAGCATATGTGATAATGTGAACAAAACAAGGCCCCACAAAAGGAATCAAAATTTTCTTGGTATGACATATCAGGGAAACCACACTAACTAAATTATTTTTACACTTTGAACATGTTGAATGATTTTGTTTGAAATGTTAATATATATAGACAGCAAAATATTATGAGTATTTTTATAAGAAATTATACACAAGAAGAGTCAAATGGAGACATTGCAAAAAAAAAAAAAAGGAGGCATTGCATGATAAAATTAACTAAAACTTTATTTATCGATTTTTTAAAACTTAACTAAAACTTTCTTGTGTATAATTTCTTAACAACACCTTAAATTTTCTATAGAATGTAACTTAACCAAACTCTTGTGACTTAAATTAAATCTATTTTGGAAACGAAGCTATAAGTTATGCTGGAGAAACGATTGGAAAACATTGAATTAACCTAATTGACCAGAAGAAAGAGTAAATTAAACTGAGATGACAAAAACAGTGAATTAAGAAAAGAGTAAAGAATCCACTGGTTCAATTAATTTAGAAAAAGACAAAAACCTGATTTTAAAATAAGATTAAAGTAATTGACCACCTCTACTAAAAGTCTAAAACTACTACTAGACTACTAGTGCCAATTTTTAAGCATTTATATCAACATGAATATACGTGCAGAATGGCTTTTGGCTCAAAGAAGGAAAAAACATTAAAAAAAAAAAATACAGTATGTTCGTACATGTGCAACAGCAACGTGAACAATAACTACTGGACGATGGGCTATATTGTATTATACATGAGTAGATTAGTTTTTATTTTTTTTAATATATCAGTTAGGATATTAATTGATTGTATAAATATCAGCTGTCGTTGACAGAGTGAAATAAGATTGAAAACTTTTTTACATTTTTGGCATGAGCGCCTCTCTATACACGATCTAGACAAACTTCATTTTGCTTTTCTTGTGTCTTTTTATTGTTGTTGTTGTTATATACATGTCTTTTAATCTTATAAAAGGTTTACCAACAATTTGTGGTCCTGTCTTTCTTAACCCAGCTTATCTTCGCTAATTCAAAGTTGTCACGTTGTCTATTTGATATAATAGTTATTTCGATTAAACGCAAAAGTATCCTATGGAAAATATCTGCTAACACTCGCAATAAATAAAAGGGTGAAAAGGAAAAAATAAAAAGTAAAAACTTCAATATTATAGGTTTTGAATGAAGATGCATGGGCAACTGCCAAAAAAATCTAGTATATGGTTTTAATAGTAGCAAGTGTATGTAATATATATATACAAACTAAAACCGTTTCACACCATGCACGACTGTTTCCATTCAAGGTCTATATATATAATTTCCTCGACGCCATAAGGCCACAACCAAACTCCTTAAAGAAAAAAGAAAGGTCAAATATGTTTTACTATGTAATTGTTCTCCCTTTAGCTCTCTTTCTTTTGGCTTACAAATTATTCTTCACCTCCAAACCGCAGCGTTTCAACCTCCCTCCCTCTCCACCTTATTCTCTCCCAATCCTCGGCCACCACCACCTCCTAAAACCGCCGGTCCACCGTCTCTTCCACCGCCTTTCCAAAACACACGGCCCAATCTTCTCCCTCCAATTTGGCTCCCGCCGTGCCGTCGTAATCTCCTCCTCCTCACTCGCAACACAATGCTTCACAGGCCAAAACGACATCATTTTATCAAACCGGCCTTGTTTCCTAACCGCTAAATATGTCGCTTACAACTACACAACCGTTGGAACCGCGCCTTATGGGGACCACTGGCGTAACCTCCGCCGCATTTGCTCCCTAGAAATCCTTTCCTCGAACCGTCTCACAAACTTCCTCCACATCCGCAAAGACGAAATCCGCCGCATGCTCACGAGACTTTCACGTGACGTCAACAAAGAGATCGAGCTCGAGCCCCTCTTGTCCGATCTAACGTTCAACAACATCGTGAGGATGGTTACAGGGAAGAGATACTACGGCGACGAAGTCCATAATGAAGAAGAGGCGAATGTTTTCAAGAAACTGGTCGCCGATATCAACGACTGTAGCGGCGCGAGGCATCCCGGAGATTACTTACCATTCATGAAGATGTTCGGAGGGAGCTTGGAGAAGAAAGTAAAAGCTCTTGCGGAATCCATGGATGAGATCTTGCAGCGTTTGCTTGAAGAGTGTAGGAGAGATAAAGACGGTAACACTATGGTTAATCATTTGCTCTCTCTCCAACAACATGAACCAGAGTATTACACTGACGTCACTATCAAAGGCCTAATGCTGGTAAGAAATATGAGTTTATGCAAATTTTTGTTAATAGTATATATATAATCTAGGGCTGTTCATATTTTTTTGGTTGTTGTTCAATTTGTTAGGTTTCAGTCGGTTTTTTTTTTTGGTTTTCAGATCTTGTGGTTCACAAATATAGAAACCGGTTTGGTTTTAAGAGTTTTATAATTTGGATTTGAAGTTTTTTGACAAAAAATATCTTAATCAATTAATTTAAACGATTTCCAAATCTGTATCGAGTTATTTTAATGGTAGTTAGGTACAGCTATAAATGTAAAATCAAATAGGTCTATTTTACTTTATTCCATTTCGGGCATAGACGATTTGATTTGAGATTAGTCGTTGTACCGAATTGGTATCCATACGGTATGGTCTACAATCTACACCGGTATTGTTAGTCTTGAAAAATTATTCAGAGGAATTTGGAACCTATGCGTCTGCCTACAGTACGGACAGTTATTTATTCCTTTTTTTTTTTTTCGTCATGATAATCATTTATTCCTAGAAAGTAGAAACAATTCTGATTATTCCTAGTAAGTAGAAACAATTCAGATCTCATATTGTTTTTTAAAATCAATATAGTTTTGACTTTAAATACAAAAATATTTTTGGTATAGTTTCACTTTTATACGGTTCTGGCTTAATAAATAGGATAATTATGCTTTAACAAAAAAATAATAAGATAATTGTGCATGCATGAAACAGGGCATGATGATCGCCGGAACAGATACTTCGGCCGTGACGCTGGAGTGGGCGATGTCGAGTTTGCTAAATCATCCAGAGTCTTTGGAAAAAGCGAAACTAGAGATTGACGAGAAAATCGGACAAGAACGTTTGATCGACGAACCAGACATCGCAAACTTGCCTTACCTTCAAAACATAGTGTCGGAAACATTCCGGTTATACCCGGCGGCACCGCTTCTAGTACCAAGATCACCGACGGAGGATATTAAAGTCGGAGGATACGACGTGCCACGTGGCACGATGGTGATGGTTAATGCGTGGGCTATACACAGAGATCCAGAGCTCTGGAACGAACCGGAGAAGTTTAAACCAGAGAGGTTTAACGGCGGAGAAGACGTTCATAAACTGATGCCGTTTGGGAATGGACGGAGATCGTGTCCCGGCGCCGGATTAGGGCAGAAGATCGTGACGTTGGCGTTAGGTTCGTTGATTCAATGTTTCGACTGGGAAAAAGTCAACGGCAAAGCAATCGATATGACGGAGACTCCGGGGATGGCGATGCGTAAGAAAGTGCCTTTATGGGCTTTGTGTCAATCTCGGCCCATAATGAATAAGCTTCAGGCCCATTAAAAAGGTTAGCTTTTTAATTTTTTTTTGTGCTTTTCTATTTTCTATGCATGTAAAATGGTTAGAGATGTGAGATTTTGCTTCGTTTGTGTAACGAAGGTTATGTGTGTAATTCGAACAAATGAAATTCTATGTTTTGCACTTTTGCCCATATTTAATGGTTTCTAGCGGGATGATAAAGGTTTTAGATTAACAGAGTCATTTACATCCAAATCGAAAATTATTAAGTCACAATTTCTACAGCAACAAGATGAGTAATCTAAAACATATATAATCATGATATACATAAAATCGATAAACTGTTCTTTTTTGTTTTGGATAAAAGGCCTGGGACATTTTTTTTCATATTTTGTCACAAGCTTGTCCCAAGCCTATTGTTTGTTTTTAACATTTAAAATATGGGCCTATACCCTCCAAAACTTTTGAGCCCATCAACTAGAAAATAAGGCCCCCAGAAATCAATTATTGCAAAAATAGATCAATATTTTCTGAAATTTTAAATTTTGGTCTCATGTTTAAAAATCTATATAAAAACCAGAAAAAGCCCCCTATATTCAAGTATCAAGAATTCAAGATCGGCCCTGCTTCTACACACCGACCGATATGTAAGATTGCGATCTTGTTAGAGATCTGGAACAACTTGCCAATTTCCATAAAAAATCTGTACATTTTTGTTTTTAATGGAAAAATTATTTGAATTAATTTATGAATAAAGCCTTATTTCTTGGGACTATACATATTTTGTTGATTACTAGACGATAGTCCATTTGCCATTAATTTTTTAGGGTAGTCAGGAAAAGAGTATCTCTGACCATGTGGCTTTGCTCAAGAAATCCTAAAAACTTGTTGACCAAAGATATATGTGATATACAATAACTATAGACATTAGACTTCGTTAACATTACATAATCGCAATATATGATATAAGTTGTAAAATAAAAATTTACAGAATAAAAAACCACATAATAAAATTACTTTGAAAAATATATTGATCAGATATATATTTACAAATTGTCATATTATAATATTATATTACTAATATTTTTTTCTAATACACAAAATGATGTTTTAATAAATTTAGATATATTTGAAGTAACATTTGATGATAAAAATATAGAATTATTTAAAACTATTAAAAAGTTGTAAAAATTTCTAGATTATTCGAAAGTAATATTCCAAAATTTTCATTATAAACACTTTTTTCTTTTACAATTACTAATATTTTATATAGGTAAAATAACAAAAATTTATTACGCAAATAAACAACTATAAATCCTGACATTTTCTAATGTGATTATGTAGATTTTCTTGATTGGTAAACTTTTTGTAAAATTACATTAAAAATGTAATTCCGCCATTATACGTGTTACTAAATCAGATCCTAAATTTATACGGTTTTACTACATCAGAATACATGTATCATGTGAGTTTTTAATACTAAAATAAAATTTAAAAATAATAAGTCAAATATTAAAGAAATTTTCTAAAATTCGTATTTTATTCATTGAATTACATTTATAATGTTGATGAATATAAAAAGACATGGGTGCACGAATGAATTCTTTAAGTGCATGTAAAAAAAAAAAACTCAAAAGTCAATGAGCTGTCAAAAAAAAAAAAAAAAAAACTCAATCTCCCTCCAGTACAGATGTGAACTATTTTTCCAAGTTCCATCACATCATTTTGTAAGATAGCTGGATTATTTTCACGTTTTCATCAAAATTATTTCAATTTCAGGTATATATATATAATTAGTTGTTTTGAATATTTCTAAATTTGTAAACACTTGTTAATATCTATATATTTAATCTGCTGGAAAAAAATACCTTTCTTTAATCAAGATCTCTTCACCAACTGAATCGTGGTGGCTTGGCTATGATTCAAAAAATGTCGTATGAACTCGTGAATCATGTGACTTGTATCATATCACATCTTTTTTTTAATATACATTCTATTAAATAATATGGTGATACCAATAATACGACGACGTACATAATTTCTATATTATAGATATAAAAAAATGGCATGGGCATAAAAATAATTCATCCTCTACTTAGAATATTATATATTTATGTTAATCAAAATGAATACATGTACAAACTAGAAATCCATTTTAAACACCCTTCATTAAGATGTACTTAACATCACTGAAAACAATATTTGCGTCGTGGTGTTTTCCATTCTTCCATCTCGAACACTGATATGATATGTCCCTCTGCAATGCTCACTTTGAGTGACATTCAAAAATGAGTTATGAACCAATTAATAAATATACAAACTCATCTAGTCCACAATTTATGGCTGAATCTGATCTTTTATATGTCTGCTTGAGTCATGAGTTTGTGTGAAATCTGATGTTTTCCTCGATTGATACAAAATGAGCCGAAAGTAGAAAATAAATAATTTGAACATGGCAATTCCAGTCCATGGCTTAGAGCCACATGTCTAATATTGCTGCAGGCGTCGTGGTTAAATGGACCTGACGTGTAAAAGGCTTGGCAGGTTTTATTTATCAATTTATTAACAGTCAGTGGGCAAAATTTTAAAATAGTCCTCCAGATTAATATGTAAACTATAGAAATATATTTTCCTAAAATAAAATTTTATAAATTTTGTATGTTATGGATATAGGAAAATAATTATATAGATCCCCATTTACTCAGAAATGTTTTTTTGGATATTTTTATCTATAATTTCGTTTATTTACACTTGTTTTATTCATGATTTTCTTTTAAGAGTATTTTTTCTTTAAAAATAATTTTTATCTACAAATATGAAACGGTCGCAATAGTAACTTTTATACTCTTTCTGTTTCACAAAGTGTCATTCTGGAGTTTTATTTTTGTTTCACAAAGAGTGTCATTCTACATTTTTAATATGATTTTTACACAAAATTTCCTGATTTACACCTTAACTTAAAACTATTTATTATTGAATTTAATTTATTAATCACTTATTAAATAGGGCTATACATGTATAATTTAATATTTTCTTAATTTATGTGAAATGTGTCTAAATTATATTTTTTATTGTGAAAGAAAAGGAGTATAAATTAAACGGCCTCTTAACAGTTCGGAGCAAACATGTGCATGTGAGTGCGAGTAGTTCGCTAATAATAATAATATATATTATCCCAAATTTGTTTATCACAATATATAGCAAGCATGTGAATGCGACTTCCTACCAAAAAAAAAGCATGTGAATGCGACTTCCTACAGTAAAATTTCTATATTTTTCTTACTTGTAATTAGTTTTAGCAAAATAATTTTTATTGATAAAAAGTTTTAAAAATGCAATAAAATTAGGAATTTTTTTTATAAATTAATAAAATTTTACCGACATTATTAGTTTTATAGAAGTTTTAGTTTTAGGTATCTCACTATAACCACGTTTCCCACACAATTTTTCTAATGAAAGTTCCATATCTACCATATCTGCCATAGTTTACTCTACTAAAAGATGAGTATTCATAGCTTTTGTCAGGCGTCAATTTTGGGAACACATGATTTACGTGTTGTCAAGTAATAACTTAACAATTTAAAGATATTTAAAGAAAATATTTTTATTCTAAAGGCTTGAGGGAGTCGTTGATTTTAGTACTATTAATATTTTTTTTTTATCGACAAATCAATTATATTATAGTAATATATAATACATGAATCTATTTAAATACAAACAGGAAACAAATAAAGAAAATTAAGTACAATTTTGATGTACAAGTGGAATTAACTTTGTTTTTAAGACATTTAAAAACCTTTTTCTTCTTCTCATTTCTCTTATAAATATTTTAATTGAAAGTATCTGATCTCATTGACTATTGAGATACCCTATGGAAATACTATACGTACGTACTTACATGAATAACAACATGATGATTGCAGATAATAATATCTTTAGGATCCCTAATATATTTTCGTCAAATTTAATGATCACAACTGTTTTCTAAAAACAAAAACGTCATTATCCCAGATTTGAAGAAATATATTTTGCACAAAAAAAAATATAAAAAATTACAACCATTATTGGGTCAAAATTGGAAATGTGACTACCCTAAAACTCATTTTCCTACTATAAATAGATTATCGAATCATCTGATCGGAGACATCATCACCAAAGAAAAAAACTAAAAATGCTTAACTATGTGATTATTCTTCCTTTAGCACTCTTTCTCTTGGCTTACAAATTCTTCTTTACCTCCAAAAGGCAGCGTTACCATCTCCCTCCCTCTCCATCTTACTCTCTCCCAGTCCTCGGTCACCACCTCCTCATCAAACCGCCCGTTCACCGTCTCTTCCACCGCCTCTCCAATATCCATGGCCCAATCTTCTACCTCCGGCTTGGTTCCCGCCGTGCCGTCGTCATCTCTTCCTCCTCACTGGCAAGAGAATGCTTCACAGGTCAAAACGACGTTGCTGTATCAAACCGCCCTCGTTTCCTAACCTCTAAATACATCGCTTACAACTACACAACCATCGCAACCACATCTTACGGTGACCACTGGCGTAACCTCCGCCGCATTTGCTCCCTCGAAATCGTCTCCTCAAAACGTCTAGCCAATTTTCTCCACATCCGCAAAGAGGAGATCCAACGCATGCTCACGAGGCTCTCACGTGACGCCCGTGTCGGCAACGAGGTCGAGCTCGAGTCAGTCTTATACGACCTAACGTTCAACAATATCGTGAGGATGGTTACAGGGAAGATATATTATGGCGACGATGTCAGCGACAAAGAAGAAGCAGAGCTGTTCAAGAAGCTTTTCACGTTCATCACCACTAATAGTGGCGCGAGGCATCCTGGAGAATACTTGCCATTCATGAAGATATTCGGTGGGAGCTTCGAGAAGGAGGTGAAAGCTGCTGCAAAAGTCATCGATGAGATGTTGCAGCGTTTGCTTGACGAGTGCAAGAGTGATAAAGACGGTAACACTATGGTTAATCACTTGCTCTCTTTGCAACAAGATGACCCTGAGTACTACACTGACATCATTATCAAAGGCCTAATGCTGGTAATGAATCGAACACATTTTTTTATAACAACGTACCTTCAATATAATGACACAACAACATCATTACTACAAAACGTTAGGCTACAATACATACGAAGTTTTTTTTTTTATATGGCAAATAACAGTCTTATGTTTTGAACCAACCACCTAGATTATTATTATTTTTTTATTTATTTATTTAACCACCTAGATTAGCATGAATCACGTTTTTGAAATTGGTATGTGTATGTGTATGTGAGATTAGCATGAATCACGTTTTTGAATTTCTTGTTAATTTTTTTTCTCTGATGACACATGAAACAGGGCATAATGGTTGCCTCATCAGAGACCTCTGCTTTGACAATAGAATGGGCGATGGCGAGTTTGTTGAATCACCCAAAAATTTTGGACAAAGTAAAACTAGAGATCGATGAGAAAATCGGACAAGACCGTTTGATGGAAGAATCAGACATTGCAAACCTGCCTTACCTCCAAAACGTAGTGTCCGAGACACTCCGACTACACCCAGCAGCGCCGGTTCTTGTGCCAAGATCAACAGCAGAAGACATCAAGATCGGAGGATACGATGTGCCACGTGACACAATGGTAATGGTCAACGCGTGGGCTATACACAGAGATCCAGATCTTTGGACCGAACCGGAGAGGTTTAACCCTGAGAGGTTTAACGGTGGAGAAGGAGAAAAAGACGATGTTCGTATGCTAATAGCGTTTGGAAGCGGACGGAGGATATGTCCTGGCGTTGGGTTAGCTCACAAGATTGTGACATTAGCGTTAGGATCGTTGATTCAATGCTTTGATTGGAGAAAAGTGAACGAACAAGAGATTGATATGAGTGAGGGTCCGGGGATGGCAATGCGTATGATGGTGCCGTTACGAGCCTTGTGTAAGACTCGACCCATAATGAATAAGCTTCCGGCCCACTCGAAGGTTTAGTACTGTTTTTGTAACTTTCTATGGGAAAAATGTTACTTTCTGTTTACGTTAGTGTAACGAGGACTACGTGTGTGATGGGCGAATAAATCGAAATAAAAAGCTATGTTTAGCAATAAGAGCCTTTTTCTCCTACTTTATTTCGTTTCTTAATTTCTATTATTCTGTTGATTAACGTCAGTTTTTTCCTGCTATTTCTATGGGGTTTAGAATTTTTCTTTCTTCATCCAATCTTTTTGGTCGTCGAATTTGTATTTTTGGAACTCAAAACACACATAATGCAACCAAAATAAAATTAAAAAAATTGATGGATATTTTTATATGGCTACAAAAGAAGATTGTTGGATACGTAAACGAAAATGACGTTATCCTTCAAGACTTGTTCTTCTTCTTCTCCTCGATTAACACCAAAATCCATCGCCGGAGCTGGAGACGATGCTTCTCAATTCTTCCATCACAAGACAAGTTACAGAGCACACACAACCACTCTCTTCTTCATCCTCGTTTCTCTCTCCCTCTTCGGTTTCTTCTCTCTCTATTGTTCCCCAAACACGATTTATCGAGCTGCCTTCTTCGCCACGACACGCCCCGCTAAATCAAGAATCGTTAGTTACGTGATCAACACTCAAGATTCAAGCCATCATCAATTATCCAACGGTTCTCGTAGGATCAGAGCCGAAGCTGTTCTTTGGCCAGGATGGGAGATTCTGGTGATCGTTTCACCGGAGGAAAAACTTATGCCGCCGCAGCTTCCAGGAGAGAATTACACATGTTTTTACCCTAACGGAGAGAAATCCACGGCGAGATTCGCCGCGATTCTGCCTTTCTCGAACCGTACATCATTCAGATGCAGTCTTCCCGGAATTTATCGCCACCACCATCCGATTCCGACTCCGATCCTCGCTTCTTCGAAAAGGTTCCAACTTTCGCCGGAAACACGTTGGCCTGATCTACCTCTATGGAATTTCGTAGTTTTCGAAGCTATTTCCACGGAAAACGACGTCGTTCTCTTCGTCAAGGGACCCAATCGTGGATTAGGTTCCAATAAACCACCGGAGTCGTTTCGATGTGTGTTTGGCGAGGAATCCGATACGGCCATCAGAACCGCCGTGACGAGTTCCGTGCAAGAAGTATTCCGATGTTCATTACCGAACATGACGATCGATACGCCGATCAAAATATACCTCGAGGCAGTAGCAACCGATAAAGAGGAGACAAAGACCGTCCCGTCTGTGGCGTACTATAGCCCCAAGCGCACGTTAGCGGAGCCAAGTGAGAAAGCGCTATTGTGCGCGACGACAATGGTGTACAATGTAGCAAAGTATCTGAGAGAGTGGGTGATGTATCACGCGGCGATCGGAATACAGAGATTCATCATATACGATAACGGTAGCGACGACGAGTTAAACGACGTCGTTGAAGTGCTTAATGGTGAAAAATATGACGTCATCAAAGTTTTATGGATCTGGCCCAAGACCCAAGAAGCTGGGTTCTCCCACGCGGCGGTGTATGGTAACGATACATGCACCTGGATGATGTATCTCGATGTAGACGAGTTTCTCTTCTCTCCGGCTTGGGATAAACAATCACAACCATCAGATGGGATGATTAGGTCTCTTCTACCGTCAGATCAAAGCATGATCGGACAAGTGTCGTTTAAATCACACGAGTTTGGACCGTCTAATCAGACAAAGCATCCACGTGAAGGTGTGACACAAGGTTACACGTGTCGACGAGAGGAAGATCAACGGCACAAGTCGATCGTGCGGCTGAGCGTGGTGGAGCATTCTCTTTACACGGCGATCCACCACTTCGGTTTAAAGGGAGAGTACGAGTGGCGCGTGGCGGACACGGAAGAGGGGGTGGTGAACCATTACAAGTACCAAGCATGGCGGGAGTTCAAGGCCAAGTTCAAACGGCGCGTGTCAGCTTACGTGGTGGATTGGACTAGAGTTTCTAATCCTAAGTCGAGAGATCGAACTCCTGGGCTGGGCTTTAAGCCCGTTGAGCCGGACGGATGGGCCTACAAGTTTTGTGAAGTCATGGATTTGAGGTTGAAGAGGTTAACCAGAAAATGGTTCGGGTACCCGGTTAAAAACGGTTATAGAATGGCATGGCAGAGATAAGATTGTATTAGAGTACCGATTGGTTATTGTGTTAATAGCATAGTTCTTTTGGTGACAGATTTTTTCTGTTTTTGTAACCAAGATTTGAAGTTTTTGGTTAGGTGAAAGTACAGAAACTAAAAATACTTTGAAACGTAAGTAGAGTTATTTTAAGTCTAGTAGACTTAGTAGTCTCAATGCCATCTTGAATCTCATGAATAAATTCGGATACAACAACTTCATTTCTGAACTTTTGCGATATATATCAGACGATATGAATACTTGACTAAACTGATAACGTACGACGAAGATACAATGCAAATCGAAGAAGATAAAAAGTTATCAAGAGCGGTGGAAAAGAATTGCTTTAAATGATGTGATTCAACATCACCACACTCGTGTACGCAATTAGAAAGTAGTCAAAAACATGAACAAATATGATTCCCAAATGGGGCCAATAGTACATATGACCCCCAACAATCATATGACAAAATTTTGTCTTCTTCGATAGCGGTAGATTCCAATTGGTTTGATATGAACCACATCTATACTCCTTCTTTCACGACCACGAGAAAAAATATATGTTTTCCTATTTTTCCCTCCAACATTTATAATCTTTTGAAATTCCTTAACATGAGTTGTCTTATTGTTTAGGTGACTTTGATTTAATAGAATAACCTTTTTAAGAAAATCAATTTATGAACACCTCACGTCAAAGGATCTAAGCGTAATTCAGCTAATATTAATACATTAATTTATGAATGAAACGGTTGTATAATTCTTAATTTTGGTTTAATAAAATAAAATTACAATTTTGTTACTATCATTTTATTAGCACGTCGATAGCAGCAAGCATGTGAGTGTGACTGGCACGTTTCATATATTCTCCTAGGCCAATTCTCTAATATAAATAGATCGATCTATGAAAGATATCGATCGTTATATATTGTTGCGGTGACTTTTAATTGATCAAATAAATAACTTTGTTTATCAATTAACAACACCATGCGTGCGGCGATAATTTTTTTTGTTTCTCTATATTCTATAGTATTATACAGATGTATGATTAGTGAACACGATTGTAGTATGAATGATGTATTCTCGATTTTTGATTTGATAAAATGCAACTACAATTTTGTTATCAATTTATTTTACACCTTGATCACAGCACCCATCTGAGTGGTTGTTACTTGTTACTACTTATTAGCACGTTTCCTATATACATATACGTGTCAAGTTGAGAGCAATTAACAAACAATTAACGCTGTCAAAAGTAGCAATTAACCAAGAATGTTAGGAAGGTGTCTCTTCTTATTCATGATTGATTTTAGATTTTTTTCCAAATTAATAGATTTTAGACTTTTGCGCCTTGTCTTTCATGGTCGATTAACAAATGATTTGTGCCTTTGTGGTAGTGATGGTTGATATGTTAGTATCCGGTTTGCAATGTTTTCGAATTTCTACGTAAAAGGTTTTAAAATGGTTGTCAAGTTGTATTGGTTCGAGTTTCTTTATTTCGAGACTAGCAGATGGAAACGAATAATTTTTTTTTTTTAAATAGTTTATTGATAGGTTCGAATTTCCATGTGAAAGGTTAGAAAATGGTTGTCAAGTTGCGTGGGTTAAAATTTCTTTAATCTTACACTAGCACATGGGAACAAATTCCAGAGTTTTAATTCAACGTAACTCAATAATGGAGTTTTGAGATAGATGATATCATGATAATATCAGAATATGGAGCTTGAAATCGTCGTAGATCTTTTTCTTTTTATGGTCTTTTTTTAAAACGGAAATTATAACTTTCAAGTTCCACTACCAATTGTCACGTTTGATTGAGTAAAATTTCTCTATAAATAAAACAAACAAACCAATAACTCCATCCTCCACAAGTAGAAAGAAACACAAACATCCTGAAATTCGAAGAGGACAAAATGTTTTACTTTATCCTTCTTCCTCTCCTATTTCTTGTTCTAACTTACAAATTCCTCTACTCCAAAACGCAACGTTTCAAGCTTCCTCCAGGACCACCGTCACGTCCCTTCGTCGGCCATCTCCACCTTATGAAACCGCCGATCCACCGTCTCCTCCAACGTTACTCCAACCAATACGGCCCAATCTTTTCCCTCCGTTTCGGCTCCCGCCGTGTCGTGGTCATAACTTCCCCTTCCCTCGCCCAAGAATCCTTCACCGGCCAAAACGACATCATTCTCTCTAGCCGGCCGCTCCAACTCACCGCCAAATACGTCGCATACAACCACACAACCGTTGGAACAGCTCCTTACGGTGACCACTGGCGTAACCTCCGCCGCATTTGCTCTCAAGAGATTCTCTCCTCACACCGTCTCGTCAACTTCCAACACATCCGCAAAGACGAGATCTTACGAATGCTCACTCGCCTCTCACGTTACACACAAACCTCCAACGGAAGCAACCACTTCACTCACATCGAACTCGAACCGCTCTTATCCGATCTAACATTCAACAACATAGTAAGAATGGTTACAGGGAAGAGATATTACGGCGACGATGTCAACAACAAGGAAGAAGCAGAGCTATTCAAGAAGCTAGTCTACGATATCGCCATGTATAGCGGCGCTAACCATTCCGCTGATTACTTACCAATACTAAAAATATTCGGAAACAAATTCGAGAAAGAAGTTAAAGCAATAGGCAAATCCATGGATGATATATTGCAGCGTTTGCTCGATGAATGTAGAAGAGATCAAGAAGGTAACACAATGGTCAATCATTTGATCTCTCTACAACAACAAGAACCTGAGTATTACACTGACGTTATCATCAAAGGCCTTATGATGGTAAATTCTATAACCTCTTTGAGATTCAAATTGTGAGATTCGATTTTGACCTGATTTTGAAATTGTGAAGTCGATGATGCTCGCCGGGACTGAGACCTCCGCCGTGACATTAGAGTGGGCGATGGCGAATTTACTGAGAAATCCACAAGTGTTGGAGAAGGCAAGATCGGAGATAGATGAGAAGATCGGGAAAGATCGACTAATCGACGAGCAAGACATCGCGGTGCTTCCTTACCTCCAGAACGTCGTCTCCGAAACATTCCGGCTATTTCCGGTGGCACCGTTTCTAATCCCTCGATCACCGACGAAGGACATGAAAATCGGCGGTTACGACGTCCCGCGAGGTACGATAGTGATGGTAAACGCTTGGGCTATACATAGAGATCCAGAGCTTTGGGAGGAGCCAGAGAAGTTTAATCCAGATCGGTATAACGAAGGATGCGGAAGTGATTACTATGTATACAAGCTGATGCCGTTTGGGAATGGCCGGAGAACTTGTCCCGGCGCCGGATTAGGTCAGAGGATTGTGACATTGGCGCTTGGATCGTTGATTCAATGCTTTGAATGGGAGAATGTGAAAGGAGAAGAGATGGATATGTCTGAGAGTGCTGGGTTGGGTATGCGTAAGATGGATCCTTTACGGGCCATGTGTAGGCCCAGGCCCATTATGTCTAATCTTTTACTCTAATAAAAAAAAGAGTAAAGGTGAAAAAGCAAAAATAACTTAATGGATGTAACTGGTAATTATCTTAAGGAATAAGGATATGATGAATAAAATGAATCTTTGCTTCATAAATAACAAAGAAACCATATATAATTTTGATTCTTCTGTATTGTTAACTAAAGTATTTCCATAAAAATATCCTGAAACTATATTATATAGTATATATATATATATATATATATATATATATATATATATATATAATTTATTACAGTAATATTGTATTTTCGGATATATAAAATAAATCCACAAGAAAGTTTTTATTCCACTGACGAAATCTCCATGGCATATTTCAAATCTCGCTGAAATGAAAAATAAAGTTAATTAGCAATAAGGAAATAATCAGTTAAAATACGTATCAGAATAATAAAACAACATGATTTTAAGCTTAACTAATTAACGTTTTCTGTAAGATTTTAAGATGCTAGCAATTGAGTTTTTAACAAATAAATTATAACCACTTATACATTAAAGTTCATTATAACTAGTCACAAAAGATTTAGACTTTTTACAATAAATATCTGAATCATGTCAAAACTGAATTTTAACGTGAAACCATAAAAAGAAAAGAATTAGATGCAATACGTACGTGACTAAAATGCAATACGTACGTGACTTTCATAAATAATTATTGTTATCTAGGTATAAATTTACCTTCCGAGATTGAACTATAGCCAACGTCTTCTGGAGATCTTCCTCTCGACGTTTAAGTTCAGCTAGTGATTCCCACTGATTTGGTATTTTCAGGAAACGCCTTAAAAAGAAAATTAGAGAAACCAATATTAAAGATATACAAAAATACATTATTCATGTCTATTAGAAATATATAGTAGGCATATCTATAAAATAAGATATTTACTCCAATCGTTCTTCCACCTCGGCCAATAGGACATTGTATTGTTCGATTTCATCTTCGATCACCTATTTTAAGAAAACGAGTGGTTTTAGATTAAAAAAAAAACCATGCATAAAGTACTTTAACGTTTTTTTGTTTATATACATAAATATTTTCAAATCATGAGAAGAAACATTCTCTATCCACATGCCTTTGGTTGAATTTGATAACGAAGCCCATCGTCAAGACTTTCTCTGCATAAAAAAAAAAAAACTACAATATATAAAGCAAATAATGGTATAATTATAACGATTTAAACTTTGAAAATTTTAAATTAATAACCTCGAGTTCAATTCACTGCAGATCGGTTCCGAATACATCTGCATAACCAATCGTCGTATATTCTAGATTGCCCATACGAATCAGAAAAAAAAAAACAAAAAACTTAGGTATACAATAAACAAAAATATTAACCGTTAGATTATTTTGATTTTTACCTGTTCATCTGGGAGCCTGTATACGATCAGATGGACCGACCGATTACAATATCAGGAGTTCATGCAAATGTATAAATAAAAATATTAGAACTCATACAATAAAATAAAATAAAATAAGCCTATATTACTTTTATGTTCTTAGATGCATGCATTAACACAATGAATTTACCTAATTTTGCGTTTATAATTAGGCACAGCAAGATACTTGCATATAGTTTCTTCGATCCTATAATCATTAACCGATGATTTTATATCAGATTAATGACAAAACAGTTGATAGTCATATATATGATGAAATAAGAAAATATTAGTATATATGTACCTGGCTTTGGCATAAAAAACGAAGAGTTTACCAGAAGGAGAGAAAAGAATGAGAGCAACTGGGACATTACATAGAATAAAGAGTTCATAAGCTTTCTTTAAAATCCCATTTTTTCTTTTGGCAAATGCAATATTTCTTTGTTGCCTATCATTTATTCTTTTAATCTGTATTTTCACTCTCCCCATTTTTTCTCGTCTTCTTTTCACAATGTTTTTTCTGTCTCAATTTGCTTTCAAAATATCCATTTCAAGCTGCATTTTTAAGTTGCTTATATAGTAATGAGAAAGTTTATCTATGGCTAAACTTTTAGATTTTCCATTAAATTGTATTTAAGTTATTAATTACTTGAAATTAAATATTCTTTTGAAAAATATTTATAATAATAATATTTATAATATAAAGGTTATATACTAAATAAAATTTAAATATATATATATATATACACAGAAGATTGTGAAATTGGATTAGAAATCTCATTTATTATGGCTCAGTGGCCCATTTCATCCCATATATGATATGTGTTATCAAAATCTATGTCCCCAAGATGCCAAAATGAGGTGGTTCTGCCAATTGTCAACAGACTCTTGACATTTTTTATGGATATATAACTAAATTCATAAGATCAAATATCCATATATAACTTTATGAAATTTGTAATAAAATTCATATATAAATTTAGGCAGATATCCAAAGGAGAAAAATTATTATAATTTTTTTTTCATGAATGTGTTAAATTATTGTGGTGCAACTTGATTAGATGTTTAAATACATTTTTCGAAAACAAGAATTAAAAAAACTCATAAAAACACTCATTCAATACCAACATAATGGATCAAACGTAAAGGAAATGAAAATGTCAACATTGAGGCAGAGATAAGTATTTGAGTATAATGAAAATGTCAATTGGGTTAAGAAAAAATGAAAATGTCAACGTTGAGGCAGAGAATTGTTCCACATCTGACCTTTTTAAGACGTCTAAGTAAGAAAAGATGAACAGAGCACTTCTTGAAAGAGATTTCCTCTAAGTCCTTTTTTGGCGTTTAAGACCTATGAATAATGAGGCAAAACGCGATCCTTCTAACGTTGAAACGCAAGTTAAGATATTGGTTGAGGATTTGAAAAGCCATTCAGCGGATAGTCAAAGAAACGCAACCGCAGAACTCAGGTTGCTAGCGAGATATGACATGGATAATCGGATTGTGATAGAAAACTGTGGTGCGATCGGCTTGCTAGTGAATCTTCTTTACTCTAACGATCCGGAGACGCAAGAAAACGCGGTTACCGCGCTTCTCAACTTATCGATAAACAACAACAAGAACAAAAGTGCGATCGTTGATGCGGGTGCGATCGAACCGCTGATTCATGTCCTAGAAAACGGAGGATCTGAAGCGAAAGCGAATTCAGCTGCAACCATTTACAGCCTCTCACTGTTAGAAGAAAACAAGATCAAGATTGGTAGTTCAGGTGCGGTTGGACCGCTTGTTGATCTGCTCGGTAACGGTACACCTAGAGGTAAGAAAGATGCCATTACCGCGTTGTTTAATCTCTCGATACATCACGAGAACAAGGCGAGGATCGTGCAATATGGAGCTGTGAGATATCTTATAGAGCTAATGGATCCATCGGTTGGAATGGTCGATAAAGCGGTTGCGGTTTTGACGAATCTAGCTACGATACCGGAGGGAAGAAACGCGATTGGTGAAGAAGGTGGGATTCCTCTTCTTGTTGAAGTTGTTGAATTAGGATCTGCTAAAGGGAAAGCAAACGCAGCAGCCACTCTTCTTAGACTTAGTACAAATAGCGGTCGCTTCTGCAATATGGTTCTTCAAGAAGGTGTTGTTCCTCCTCTTGTTGCTTTATCTCAATCCGGTACTCCCCGAACCCGAGAAAAGGTATATTTATTTTTGTTCATTGTATACAATACGGGAATGTTTTGCTTAAGTTTCTATTGTTTTGATGATATCTTTAACTTGACTAGGCACAAGCTTTGCTTAGCTACTTAAGGAATCAACAGCATGAAAATGCATGACGTCGTGGGGACTGAGATTTCGCAGATCTTTGCTTTGTGATTGTAAATTTGTACAAATAATTAATTCCATTATAACTTATAAAGATTGTTGAGAATAACAAAAATTATTACTAAAAGATTGTGTGATCTATGAGAGTGGATTGTTTTATACAAGAAAGATATATGCACTGATTTCTAGTCTGAAAGATACGTATGACTAAGCAGATTGAATATCCATTTCGATTTGTCAATATTATCCGCTTTGATCTAATTCCAAAAATTTGGATAACCTTAAAATTTTGGAAACAAATAGATTGAATAAATCAATATATTTATATTTGAAATTCTAGATATTAGCTCTGTTTTTGATACACGTTCTTAAAAAAAAAAATTACGTAGATATGAACTATATAATTATGACACATTTCAACATTTTAGCTTTGGGTACTTTCACATTTTAATATTTTCTTTACATAAGCATGTTTTATTATTATTTTCGAGTACTAAATAACTAGATTTTTTCTGTTTTGATAAAAAGACCAAAAAAAAATCTACAATAAATGTATAAAGAAAAAACACATTAAGTAAAAAAAAATATTTTTGGTCAAAAAAGAGAAAGAAATCCTTCTCTACGGGATAATGGACCCCACTTGTGTAAGATAAAACACTCTCTCACAAGAAAAGCCTCGACCACCTCACCGATAATGGTGGCTATGAGATCTCCGTCTTTTCTCCGTCGTGTTTCTCACCGCCGATTATAAAATCCTTCTCTACTGTCATCTCCTTGTCGGAAACAGCGAGCTAAGTCGATTAGGTACTGTTCCTTTTATCTGTTAAAAGCTTTTCTAGGGTTTTCGTTTTTGTTGTTCTGTATCTGAAATTGTGATCTCATCAACGATCAAGCTTCGAACTTTCCATTAGGGTTTGTGTCAATTCGTCTTCTTCTTCACTTTTTCCTTCCAATTCGACGCATATGGATATCTGATGAAAATTGTCGAAAATTTGTTCAATTTCAAGTTTAAATTTTTATGACACTTGATTTCGGATTTTTCTAGGGTTTACCTGAGAATTTGATATGGAGGTGAAGAAATCGAAGATAGAAATGGATGATTCAATCAATAAGGAGGTTGAGGCATTACCCAAAGAGATGCCTTGTACTAGTAACTATGAGGACCATAGTTTTCATAATAATGTTGAAGATCTCACTGATGATCGTCTTTGTGGTGGTGGTGATGGTGATGCTGATGCTGATGCTGATGCTGATGCTGATGCTGATGCTGATGCTGATGTTAAAAAGGAGGTTGAAGACTTGGACGACGACGAGGTTGATATATTGGGATGCAATGGTGACAATGAGATACAAGTCGCGGAATGTGACGATGGGACTGATGGATATTCGAGCTCGTTTGATGGAACGGTTTCTGAACATGAGAGTGATGAAACTGCTTTGAATGATCAAGAAGCTGATTCCATGGTTTGTAATGGTACTTCACCTCCTCTCTGGGTGAGGTAAGCTCTTTCCTCACGCTTTTTATCGAGTCTTTTATCTGAATGGTTTCCATGAAGGATTGTTGTAGTTAAACCAATAGCATAATGAGAAAAAAACGTCCACTTGCTTAATTGGTTTTGTAGAGATTTTGATTGTTTTGGTAGCTTGTGTACTTTAACTTTTTAATCGAACACTATCAGTTCCATCTTTGTGTTGCTGGATTCTTAAAGGACTGAAATTTACGAATTGCTTTAGGACTACTTAGATACGTCTTTATCACGCTTCTTAATGAGTTCTATCTGAAATGGTTCCCTCGTTCGCCACAGTTCGAAATCTTTTTGAGATCTTGGGTTCCTTTACTAATGAGGAAAACGTCCACTGCTTAATTTGGTTTTTTAGATTTTCAAGCATTTGGTAGCTTGTTTACTATTACTTACTATTGAACACTATCAGTTCCATCTCTGTGTTGTTTGATTATTCGAAAAAGGACTTGAATTTATGAGTTACTTTACTACTACTTAGCTGCGTCTTTGATTTATCTCCTTTAAAGGAAGTTAGGAGAAGTTTTACTCTATATCGTGAATGGTATGCGGTAATTATTAATTTTTTGTTCCTTTTTATGGCAGAAAGAGGAAGCTGACTGATCATTGGAGGAGGTCTGTACAGCCTATAACGTGGCGCTGCAAATGGATTGAACTCAAAATCAAAGAAATTCAGAACCAAGCACAGATGTACGACAAAGAAGTTGAAGAATTTTGCCAAGCCAAGAAATTGGAGTTAGAAAATGTCAAATCAGAAGAACATGGAATAAAGTCATTGCCTCCTCTTCCATGTTATACTCAGAAAACCCGACTCAGGAAGAGGAAAAAGAGAAAGCGAGTTGAAGAGACCGCAGATGTTCAATCCTATGCATCAAACCATAATCTCTTCTCTTATTACGGTATGGAACAAGTTTTGGGTTCTTGTTTTTCTGGTTGTGTTTTAATGTTCATCTGCCATTACTTGTCTAATCATTTTTTTATTGTTTCTGATCTTTTTATAGATTGTCGGAAATCTTTGGCCGATATTGCTCTTAATGACAACTCCCGTAACCTAGGTATGGTGTTCCAAAATCTCAACTTTGATATGTTATTGATCCTTTTGAAAACTTTGATCTTATAAAATCTTTTCTTTTTCTGTCCTGGGTCATCAGATAAACGGAATAAGAGCGCCAAGGATGAGTCAGGATTCTCTGAAGAGTTACCGCCTCTCGAGTTTAGAGAAGGCGATGCGTACTTGGAACAGATACTTTTGAAGATTGAAGCAGCAAAGTCAGAAGCCCGTAACTTGAAGAACCGAGTAGACAAGGTTTTGAGTGAAAATCCCATTACGTTCTCTCTGGCTAACACAGTGAATCTACGTGGAGCTGCTGGTGTATCCACCAGCTCAGAACAAAAAAAGCCCCTGCTTGCTATCAAAAACGAAGATGAGAAATCGATCATTTCTGAAGAAAAACCAGTGAAATCTGCTTCAGTCTCATCTCATCACGACACACCTGAAGACGATGAGACAACAGATATTTTGCTGTCTGAAATCCTGGCATCAAAGCGAAGGGAAGGGAAAGCTATTGTTCCCGATAAGAATCTACAGAAGACAGAACAAACATCAGTTGAGGAAGGTCCATCAAGACCTGTAAGTTTCCGCTAACTCAGTGGAACTTTGCAAAACGCTTATGGTCTCATATGCTTTCAAACACAATGCAGGTAAGGAAAAGAACACCGCGCAATCGTGAAGTGATGACGAAGGAAGAGACTAGCCCAAAGAGACGTAGAGTTTCAAGAGAGAAGCCAAAGTCTAATGCTGTGATGGCTTCTAGGTTTAAACCTTCCAACAGGAAGAGAAAGCGAGGAAAACGAAGGGCAGGGTCGTCTGGAGTGCGAAGAAGATCCTAAAAAAGGTTTGGCAAATTTCAAGAACAAATTGGATATTGTGTTAAAAGGTAAAGTTTGTTTATTCTAAGTTATTCTTAAGCCTTTAGAGTACAAAAGAATATATATATAGTGGCTGTGTTTTGATTCTTCATGTCAACAATATATTTAAACTACATGAAGTTTATGTATTTGTGAACTAATTCAACTTTTGAACTTTGCTTCTAAAATTATTTAGAGTGTATATATTTTTTACTACAGGATCTACTATTTTATCTTATCAATGAAATATGTTTTATATCTTGTCGGTGGGCTTAATCCAAAAGTTTTCGTTTTATTGTTTTTTTTTTCCTTTTTTTGGTTCAAAACAAATAGGTAAGTTTATCTACAAAAATAAATTAAAATCTACAACTTAAATTTTTACCAAATAAATTCAAAAATTCTAAACCCAACTACAAATTTAACCAATCATGCACTATATTTTGCTAAATATGTTAGTTTTCTTTTGCATTATTTCTGAATGTCATAATTTGAGATAATAGTTCATGTAGTTTTAGTCCCAAATCCATAAACTTTGTGTAGTTTGACTGTTTCTTTTCTTTTCATCTGTATCCCAAATACATAATCTCCTGTTCTATAGAAATGATAAAATAGGAGAATAAAGAATTCTTAGTTAAGACATTATTTCAAATACATTCGTCTAGAGAGTTTGGCAGAGACAATGGCTAAAATGGTGACAGTAGGGACGAATATAACATCAGGTATGAGTTTGATTAATTTTAACTGAGGAACATTCTCTCCTGCTCTCTTAGCCGCCATCGCCGCTGGTGGAGATACTATTCCGGTGATCATAGTGACATCATCGAGTTTACTTGGCTTCACGCTCTTTGACATGAACTCTATGAACAATTTTTTCTTCTCTTCTTCGTCTTTCGCTTCCTTCCACCGCGCGAAACAAGCCTGTTTTAGATCATTCAACATTGTTTTGAAAATTTAGAGAAATTATTATAAGGTTCTTTGTATGAGTTTCGTAGAGGAGAGGACTCATCACCTTTATTTGGTCCGGGGTCGGGAAATCGAAGTGTCTGCCTGGTAAAGCCGAGTTGAAGTTGCTACACTCAATAAATCAAATTGTTATGTAAAGATCTTTATAAAAAAAATTTGGCCAATAACCTAGACTTATAAGTTATATATAACCATTTGTTCTAATGACTAAACCATTGTTTTTTGACGAATGATCAAATGAAATTATCCTTACTTAAAGATGTCTAAAACAGCAACGTGGAAATCGTCGAAGCTGTTGATAGCTTTTTGGGTAAATTGTTTGTAAAGTGAACCCATTACCATATTCATCATCTGCGTCGGTGGTACCCCTACGCAAAATATCGAAATAGATTTAGAAAAAAAATAGGACGAAAATTGTCAACACGGTTATATAACGATTTAAGTCGTTAACTGTTAGGTTAAAGAATAGCAAAACCTTTTCCGAGAAAGCCCATTGAACCACCCATATTGTCTAGAAGTTAGTCTTTGGAAAGAAAAAAATGTTATGTATATATAAATTGGTATTGATGTGTGGAAGCAGAGACTTGGCTTCGTGGGTTTGGGTCTTTGCAAAGCCAAGAATCTCGAAATCTCTAAACAAGTCCTTGGTATAAGTATAACTTGTGCTTTACGAAAGTTACAACAAAATCATAGCCTTTGATTTAAGCATTTCTTTTCGAAAGCATGGCCCATGGGGAATGACTTGTCCTCTATTCTCCCTTCTTTTTAAAATACCACTCTTAGAATCAGATATCTATGAAATTATTATAATTCAAATCTAGTTCTCTAAGAAAGAAGACAAAAATATGAATCTAGCTAAAAAAATAAAAAATAACAAATCTAGCTAATTGAAAGGTACAATAAAAAACATTGTATTAATACATACATGTCCGGTAATAAATTGTAGACAGTTCATTTATAGCAACTTGGCCACTTGAGTTAACTACGTGACAGGTATGAGATATGGATTCAATTAAAAACAAACAAATAAGCTAAGATCCAACTAAGTAGCTGACACTTTCATTTTCGCATAAATTATATTGCAATTGTAACTATTTGTTCGAAGGATCACATAGGTAAGTAATCTGTAAATTTGAAATTTTACAATAATATGGCTATACATTGGTATTCTTTTTTTCTTAACATCACTGCCTTAATCTTCCTTTTGTAAACTTACATCACTGTTTTGCTTATTGTTCATAGACGTTTTGCTTATGTTAGAGTAGATGTCAAATTCAACAGTATATTTAATCTGCATTAAAATTGAATGTGTCATTTTCAATAAAGAACTCGGACCCATCACTAAAGACTATTGTCTGCAAAAGAAAAGAACAATCAATGTGTAATAACAGTGTTATTATCATCACTGACAGATACTGAATTTCTTATTATTTTCATATAAATAAAATAAAAGAAAAGAAACTGTATAATCAATTAAATAATAATACTCAATACCAAATTCGTAAAGAAAGAGACAATGGTAGGGTCAAAAAGATAAAAACTAAAAAAATTTAGGGATGAAATGATAAATTTAGAATGCCAAAACGAGAACGGCCCACGCGGTTGTAACCGCTCCTACCGCTACATTCCTCGACACCCTTGTGCTCTCCGCTCCGCTCTGCATTAATTCCATATTTCATTTTAGTAAATCGAATATGCAAATTCAAAATCGAAAATCTATTTTCAATGTTTTGAAATGTCTCTAAAATTTTTGAAATAATTTCATCATTGTTTCATTGGTTATTCTTAGTCTTATTTTTAACATTCATACTCGAACTTGTGACGGTAGATAAATCAACATTGTTGATATAAGCTAATGTACCTGATCGTCGGCGGATGTGGAAGGACCGGGAGAAAATGCGTCGGAGTTAGGTCCGGGAGATTCAGCCGGTGGTGCAGGTGGACCAAGGAGTTCTGGAGCCGGAGCCGGTGCTTGATGCTTTTTCGATTTCTTTGTAGTCTTCTTATGCTTGCTTGGAGCAGGAGCCGGTACATCAGCGACCGGAGCAGCTACTGGAGCTGGAGGAGAATCAGCTACTGGTGCTGGAACTGGTGGAGAGCTCACTGGAGAAGAAGCCTTTGGTGCAGGAGCCGGAGGAGAGCTCTCTGGAACAGATGTCGGTGGTGGAGACGAGCTAACAGGAGCCGGAGATTTCGGTGATTCTACAGGTGAAGAAGCTGAAGAAGCCGGAGTCTTCGCAGGAGCAGCTGTGGGAGAAGTAACGGCGGGGGATTTAGTAGGGGAAGTAGTTGGAGCAGAAGGAGTGGTGGGAGATTTGGTCGGAGATGAGATCGGAGATTGGCCACCGACACCGGCGACGACAATGCAGATCAATGTAACTGTTAGGAGGAACTTGCGATCCATAATGTTATCAAATTTGGATCAAACAAAAAAACAAAATTGGAAAGATCTTGAAGTGAAGATGCAAGTACTGAGTTTAACCAAGCGTGTTGTTTGATGTAAGAGAAGTGAGTTTTTAAATATATATAGGCGATGAGGAGAGATCTGGACCGTTGGATTAAATAAAAGGACCACAGACAGATGTAGCCGTTGAGAAACAGAACATCATATCCTGTACATCTATTAATGCAGGGTTCAATAGTTTTTACTTTTTATTTTACAAAATAGCTCTTTTTCTTTTTTTCCTGTACTTTTTAATAAGGGAAATAAAAAATTTCTTGGCATTTTTCTCCTGTTATATTATGCAATAAATTTATTCGCCAATAGTGGGTACATTAGCATGTGATTTGTTAAACTGAATTTGGTTTTAACATATGATCAGATATAAAAATTAATTTATAGTAATTATTTACGTTAGTCATTAAATTGGTTATACTAAAAATCACTAGTCTTGATGTGTCATCATAATAATTGATTACCAATATCGCTCACACATTTATGATATTTTATATTAGAGATCACGGTCTAGAAATTTCCAACTACTAAATTGTCGGAAAATTATTAGTTAGTAAAATGGCAAAAATGAGGTACATTGTAATTGAGATTGAAGTTTTGGGGTACAACATTGGATTAGTATTATATGATCATCACGGCACGGGTGAAATTATTTTGACTTGATGCATGTATGTTAATAATGAAAAATGATTAAACTCAAGTTGAATAATATAATGCAATCCAAATAAGACAAGGAGAAAGAGGGAAAGAAAACGTAAACAAAAGAAGAGTCTTTGGTCGGAAGTTAGAAGGAGAGGACAGCTGGCTGATTGATTTTGCCACTTTGGATTGGTGCCCACACGGATTTCACTTTGGTTGTTAAGACCCTAGCGCAATTATTGGCACTTTCGTTATAAATTTGTTTTTGGCTCGTTTTAATCTTTAGTTTGTTGCCACCGTCACCGTCATCGCCTGAATACTATTAACCACCTCCACCAATTCTCTTTTGATTTTTGGAAATGGAATCAAAACCGTCGAGCCAATGACGAAATGTATTGCTTAGGAGCTAAGAATTTGTTTTCTTTTTTGCTTCTCACTTTCTTCCATTCCTTCTTTCAATGACTCTATCTAGAATATTGAAAAGTGTTCGTAACGTTTTCTTATGTTTTTACTTACTTTCCCGGACTAGGTAAAAAAAACACGTTTCGGCGTTTCGGCGTTTCGGTCTTAATATTAATATTAACGTGACATTTTTTCTTTACGAGTTTTTAATAAAAAGACAATGACAAGTGGAAATTTTGAGAGCGGCGCGTCGGTGGAGAGAAAACCCAAGCGAGTGGTCGTTCGTTGACTTTGTTAAAGACTTCGACGAGTGAGTTTTGTAACGATAATAAATGTAACTCGAATCTTGTAAACAAAAATTTATGAACAGATACTATTTTGAGATTTAATATCAGAACATACAACGGTTATATGATCAACGGTATTAATGGTGCCAAATCAGACCAGTCAGAAGATTGGCATAAAAAAAGAGTTGTTTGAATAAAATCAAAACAACGTTAAGATCTAAGGCTTTGTAAATCGGAAGTTCCGAGAGAGAATCATATTTAGATACATTATTAAATCTGTAAAATAAAGTTAAACATGAGAGTTAAGATCATTTAAAAACCCTAACAAAGCTATTTTTTGTTTTTGTTTTTTAGACAGAAACATATCATAAGCTGAAGATGTTTGACGGAAACACAAGTTTTCTTACTGCTCATGGTTTGGTTAGTTTTCTTCACCTCTTATGAAAGATTGTGAGAGAGAGGCAGAGAGAGAGGGAGAGACAGAGAGAAATTGAAACTCAATCGTTGTAAGAACTAAGCGCCGCAACAACCGCTCCTGTTGTCGAAAAAGCCGAGGAAATATCCGGATGATCTCTCCACGACGTGTTGATTTTCAGGGACGGGTATAACCAAGACCTAACCGAATCAACAAAGGAATCCGGCTCAACATTAAGTATAGCTTCCCAATCGATCTGTAACCCTTTCGGGATAGTCTCAGTGAACTCCATATTAGCAGCAAGCAGAAGTCCAAGTAATACTACAAATCCCGTTACAGCAGTCCCTCGAGCTAATGGCATAAAATTGTACCTGGTAAAAAAAAGCAATGTTTGCAATTGAATACCAACAGCTTCTGAGTAAATCAATCATACGATTATGTTGTCATAGTCATTTACCAGTAATATGTCATGCGTAGGATAGCGTCTTTAACGGTTTCTAAAGCGTCCAGCTCGGTAGAACCATAGTTCTCTCCACAATAGGCATTGCATAAAGCCTGTGGATTCAGTTGGACTTTTAAGTTTGTTTTCTCAGAAACATAAAGAATTATTTGTGTATGCTAGGAGTTAGGTCTTACCTCCCAAGCTGAGGTCATTTCTTCATCAAAGTCGCTCCACCTTGCAGGTGTACATGGAGTTCGAATTGAAAAATCGTACCCAAGCCTTCCCCTGGATAAAAACGAGAGAGATTTATTGAAGAAAGTGATGATTAGGATTTGTGTGAAATCACATGCAACAAAAAAGTAAAATTTACGGTTTTTGAATGCAGGTGATTCTAGTTCCTTCGAGGCGTTTCCTGAAGATATGAACAAAGAAAGAAGTAAAATCAAGATAACAGAAAATATTCAGTGAAGAGAGGTTTACGGGACTAAACAACAAACCCACCCTTCAGATCCGGTACTGTCGCACCAAGTAGCCACCCAGAAATCCTCACCAACAATTTTGTGTAGCTCATCACACGTTTCAGCACGCATTATCTGCATCTCGTGAGGAAATACAGTAAGAGAACAATGACAAAACGAGAATCATTCACGGGAGAAAGAAACACTGACTTTTTCTATCTTCTCGTCTTTAGAAAGATCAATAACTTTATCTTTCTTGCTGCGTACAGAGAGTTTATCCTTGATGATGCTCTTTGCAAGAGTCAGGGTTCTGAAGTAACATATTAGAAACTGATCAGTCCATTGACCGAGAAAAAGCCACACTGAATACATGAAAAAACCTCAAGTTCTATATTATATATTCTTACCTTTCATAATTTGGGAAATAGCGTACTACTTTAGCTTGTCCGAGTACCATTGGTGTATGAGAACCAAACCCAGAATTAAACTCTTCACTGCAATCAGTATAAACAATCTCAACCACCCAAGTAATCAAATGAAACAAACTGAAGTTCTATTTAAACATAGACTCGCGGATGCTGAGCCTGCACAGAGTCATTAGACATCACCCATTTACACAGCATGGGAAATGGAACTTGTACCTTAGTTTGTTAACCCAGACAACTGGGTCACAAGGCTCTGAAATTTGTCTCCATCTGACAGCAGGGGAATAAACGTCTTGCCAAGACAACATAGAGCGGCCAGATGATCTATCTTCTAGTGAGGCATATCCAGTTGAAGTTTCACTGAAACTGCTACTACTACACCCAGCACCACCTCTATTCTGGCTAAGTATGTTGGTTCTCTCTCTCCTCCGGTTTTTCTTTCCATTTTTTGTGGTGCCTTTGGTTGAATTCCTCCACTCTATGCGCCAAGCTTTGGAAACTTTTTGAGCAATCTCTATCACAGCCAATCCTGCCATACGGTGCTGTAAAATCATGGAAACACAAATAATCAATGGAATAGAACTATGATAGGCATATTGGTGCATAGAGGGGGTATCTAGCGATTAGATGTAACAGGGGCCTTCTGGGGCAAGAAATAAAGAGAGCTGCTATGCGGTTTAAATGCACTCCAGGGAAGAAGAAATAAACCGAAAAAATAATGTTAAAAAGGTAGATACTCCAAAAATTTGCTTAAAGTCACCTGGCGTTTGTTTGGTAAGAATCCAGGACAATCATATTGGATCCTCTTGCCTATTAAATCAGCAAAACGAAGAACATTCGCCTTCTGTTTGGTTATTGCAAGATCTTGCTTTTTCAGTTTACCCTTCTTAAGTGATTCACGTAGGGGAGGTTGTCTGTAAACCTTTTCACATACATTTTTTGGGTGTAATCTTTTGCACCAGTACTCCTGAAAAATCACATGAAAAGAAAAGCCATATTCACCACATATACGAGTGGAAAAAAGGAGAGTGTGACTGCACAATGAACTCTAAGATCTACTTTCGAATTTCCACCTACAGCACTTGAAAGCACTAATAATCATCTAGTATCTCAAAAAGAAATAAAGGATCAATTCAGACTTGGAATTGGTTGAGCTGTTTGATACTTAATATTGAAGACATTTAAATTTTCCATTCCAGCACATTGAGTATACCCAGTTAAACTGGGCCAGTTTGTTTCCATGTACTTCCTTGACAAGCAAACAAAGTAAAAGTCTGACTTTGTGATAACATCAGAAATATCGAGAGAGAGATATATCACCTTGAACATAGGGTCTATGTCACCATCAATATCAAAGCAGAAAAACTCACTACTAACTTTGGAAGCTGTATACAAGGCAAGCTCCTTCTGCAGAAGAAAAAGGAATAACTTTAAGTGTTATTGTGAAGGAAACGTTTAGGGCTGCTACAAAACATCCAATTTTATTAGATAGAGGGAGGTTTTCATTGTTCAGTGTGCTAGTTATAAACAAACAGAGAACCATTACTATCAGATAAATAATGCCATGCTTCTACAACATAGTAATGCAATATCCTATCATTACAAGTTGCTACAAACAACAGTGTACCAAGAATTAGTCTTGCAAATAAGATTTCAAATCCAGTCAATCTCTAAGTTATTAAAACAGAAAACATCTTTTGGAAGTTGGAACCTGATAAAACGCCAAGCATTGAAGAACAAATTTCTCCACTGCATCAAGTTCCACGTCAACTGTAGCATCATAGTCTTTCACCTGTGAGCATATTCAAGGCAAGTAATAAGAGAGTCTCCTTAAAATATGTAACCATAAAGTTAACAACAAACAAATATTTACCGCATCTCTATACTCTCCTACGGCATGATAGCAGGAACCTCGTAGGTACAAGCACTCTATTGTGTTCTCAATGCTCAAGCCAATAGATAATTCTTGGATAGCCTTCCTGAGAAATAAAATCACCAAAAACAACTAAAGGTGAATAATATCACTGCTTTAAAGACCAGCCTTGTACATAAATACCAAGGTGATTATAACCACCCAACTTATCAGCTTCCTTTAAAACATCCTTTTGCTCAAACGCAGATCTTTATCACCAAGAGTCAGGAGAAGTAAATCTTATCGGATATCATATTTTAAAGTAGACATTGAGATATACTTGGATCACTCATGAACATTTTAGGTAACATGCACATCAACATAGACATATTTTCCCCTTTAAACCAAATTCAGTTTCCAACAATCCTAGTTTACACTAACGGTACATACCTGTGTTCGCCTAATCCATGGAACACTAGTCCACGCAAGTGATAGGCCTTCCAAACCCTGGTCAAGACAGGAAAATTGCCATGAGTACGATGGAAAAGTAGAAATATAGTGCAACATGTGGTACTGCATCCCAAATAAGAGCTACCTGTTGTCGACCTGTAGAACCTGCTCAATGCATTCCAAAGCCTTGCAGTGGTCGGCCAACTCTTGATAGAACTGCCAGGAAAAGTCAGAAACAACCATCGAGTACAGTGAATAATAAAGTACGAGTGTATCACAGGCAACTGATTCAAGCAATAGACTAGGATGAACAACCTAAATTAAAGAGAAATAAGACACTACTTCAGGAAAAACTTAATTATTTGCCTTCAAAAGTCAAAATTTAAGCTTTCTTCATTTTGAAGTCTCACTAGCTTTACATAAAACTAACTTTGTTTATTCACCATCACAAGCAATGCTTAAAATACTATCTTCATCACAGTTCAGCTTAATAGTTGAGAATTCAATATACAAAGCATAATCTCATACTTGTTTATTTTATTATTGCGTGTTACCTGGGCGAGATGAAGCCATGCTTCAAGATAATTACTATCCAATTGGATGGACTTCAAATGCGCCTCTTCAGCTTTTTTATATTCACCAAGAGAAGCAAATGCTAGTCCCTGGAGAGATCAACAAAGTTTTACAAAGAAAACATTTGCGTTCATGGTTACTTTAGAAACCAAGAATAACAACAGAGAATAGTCTTACCAAATAAGTATATGCAGACTTGTTATCTTTCTCTTGCTTCAGACATATAGATAGGTCCTTTACAGCAGCAGTGAAGTCCTTAGATTTGAAATTAACAATACCTGAATTGATTGTGAATGTCAGTTAGTACTTTATGGTTTTTCACCAAAGAAATCATGTATTAAGAAATGAAAACTGAAATCGGGCGCAAGATTTAAAAGAAACACTGAATAAAGACACTTACCCCTTTCGTGCAATACATCAGGTGAGTTTGGCTCAAAATCAAGTGCTTTAGTCAAATCTTCAACCGCCTATCACCAAAGGGTAGTTTAAATAAAAGTGTTGGACAAGAAACGTTTCTGGATTTTACCAATAAAATGCAAGCACTAAACAGGCTTAAACATAGACATCAATCAGCGGCTTATCCAAATTATTGGATATCGATCAGACAATATTATTTATTAATCAATATTCAATAAACGTGCAGGGCGAACAAGCCCCGTAAAGTACATTTATTTTCTATGCTTTTAGCTCTGAATAAAGAACAGAAGCAGCGAATGGAACCACTAACCTCAACATATTCCCCAAGAGCAGCACGAGCCTGTCCTCTCCGCTTCCAGGCCTCAGTTGCTGCTGGGTTAGATTGGATAGCCTGACCATCATCATCATAGGAGCACAATTGGTGAACTTAACCCACAGTGGTAACAACTCTTGTCAAATATATGAATACCTTAGTAAAATCAGCGATAGCACTTTCAAGCTCTCGTTGGAATGCATAAGCTGTTCCTCTTCCTATAAGTGCCTCAGGGTAAGTAGGTTCTTCTTTCAGCACCTGCACAAAGATAAAATAAATAGTAAAAAATTTGACCCAACAATTTTTCGCCAAACAACCTCCGAGAAGAAGATTTACAGAGAAAAAAAAATTAAGCGAGACACTCTCAAGAGATAAAGATCACCAAATCACCTTATCAAAAATAGAAATAGCTTTCGTATAGTTTCCTTCATTCACCTGTTGACAAGACAGGAGCTCAGTCATCAAGAATTTGGAAGCTGTACCTTATAGCTCTTTTCTTATTTTTTTGTGTGTATTGTTATACCTGTGCAATGCCTCTAGAAAGTCGAAAATCCACACTTATAGAATGGGTTCCTGATATTCTTGCAATGGTGTACTTCTTATTTTTCCTGGTTTCATCGCTAACTCCGCAACGTGCCTCAGCTTTATGGCTCATTTTGCTAGACTTAATAATTAACTTGTTTCCATTAATCGACAGGTCCCCTAACCGATCGGAACTTTCAGCTAAATTATCATGCAAATCAGAACCATTACATGGTTTACATGATTCATAAGAACCATTGATTTGGCTGCCACACTTTCCATTCTCTTTTTCCTTGTACGCTGATCCATTACATGAGTCGGAACTACCATCAGAATGCTTGCTTGCCTTGGATGTATCTTTTGAAAAGCTTATTATCTTTGATTTCTCACCCAATTCCCTAGATGGCTCGTGGTCATGGGAGTTCCCATTGGTACATGCTCCTGATTCATAGTTGTCCAGCTTGTCAGTTTTTTCATCAGACTTCTCACTAGGAGAGGCAGGGGTCTCTTGCCGAGACTCGGTAGCGTCAATTTCTCGTCTTGCATCTTTGAGGAGTTCTTCTAATTCAAGTAACTGCTTCACATCTGCTGTCTGCTGCAAAGCATTTTTATACCCTTGCTCCAAAACAAGAACAGCTTCCTGTTTTCTCCCCAAAGCCAAAAGAGCGCGTCCTAAATGGAAAAGCTGATACACTTGAGTTCACAGGCAGTATACCAATCAAAGAAAAAACGTCTTCACCACACCATGATTCCGTAACCATGCCCGTTTGTTGATAAGGTATATCAACAAAAACCATCACTATTTATACTTGGATTATCGATATTCTTAAGCAACCATTACATCATAACTAGCATTAATAAAACCCCAAGCAAGCCATCCCGAGAATTAGACTCAAGCTTGAAAGTGAACTAACCTTTGAGAATAAAAGCTTGAATGGCACAAGGTTCAAGCAGAAGTGCCTTGTCACAGTCCTTAATCACATGCTTGTGAAGCTCCAATTGATTATAACAAAACGCTCTATTGCTGAAACCAAAAATTCCCAATTGATTAACAATGACACCGATCCACAGAAATTGATGAGAGAAGAAAGATCGCGAAACAAACCATATATCCAAAATTGAAGACTGCTTAGCAAGGAGCGAATCGAGAACTCGGATCGCTTTAGACCAGTTCCGTGAACTGCAGTGCTTGGCTAACTCGACTCGTTCCGATGTCGCCGTCGCCGTCGCCGTCGCCGTCGCCGTCGCCATTTTGAGCGGTGGAGAAATCAATCGCCTGTTTAATCGTTCTCAATTTTATCCCTCTTCTTCGTGGCCGTCGAGTCACGGGAACGATGGGTTTAGGGGTAAAAAGGGAAATTACAGTGGAGAAAATGGCAAAGAGAGAAGACTTTGACGGAGAACGAAACGGGGAAGAAAAAAAAAGTAACGGGGAAGAGAGAGAGAGAGAGTAAATAAAAAAAAGTAACGGAGAGATAAGAGAGAAGAGACGATGATGGTGAATGTGATACTACTGGTGGTGGTGATTGAGCTGGTGCTGCTTCTCAATTAAGTGGTGCTAATCAAATTTTGGGGCAAGAGTTGCACACGTGTGAAGTTTCTCGTCACGTGACTTTGGCAAAAGTTTGGGCCTAGCCCATTTATTATTACTCTTTTACAATGGGCTAGTAGCTATTTAACCATCTTGCCAAAGAAAGTCTACAAAGTTCTCTCTCCACCTTTTTCATTACTTTTTATTTTTTAATCTCGAGACACTCTTTGAGAAACTACCATTGGAGATGGTCTAAAAAGTTTGCATTGAGAACAACATTGAATTATATGTTCTCAATTCTCTCATGACTATGTAAACATTTAAATTCTATTAATGCAATGAAGTTCAAAAATTGGAAGTTTAATCATAGTATATTGACTAGTATGAAGAAATAATATTATTGCAAAACCAATAAATCATTAATTTCATAAATTAACAAACCGAATAAAATTTGAATAGACGGCACCGCGTCAATAAAAATTGAATATTATTAATGATAAATGATAACATAGAAAACAATATCTTTTCCACCGCGTAGCTATAATAACATCAAATGACGAAAAAAAGAGACTATAATAACATCAAACAAATTCATAATTTCATAGACAAAAAAAACCGAACAAAATCTGACTTAACTCTATCATGATTGAAAAACCCTAAAATTTATTTTAGTTTGTTTAAAAACTTATTAGTTTTTTCTCATAAATAGGCAAATTTCAAACCATCACAATATATATGATTTATGATTCGACAAAACTCTGTCCAGGCCGAAGAAACTAACATTTGATAACCCATCCATATTCCATAATGATACCAGCTAACTCAATGCTAATGCTAATTCCTAGTATATGTCACATGTTAATATTCGCTACTCACACATATTATAGCACAAGTACACTTGCAAAGTTGCAATAATTCACTATGGACCATCAGTTACGAACATCACTATTACATCGAGCAATAATGAGCTCTCGAGCAAAGCTGGACAAAAGACAGAGACTTTTCGTTTAACAAGATAAGAACAACAAAAGATCAAATACTCAAGACAAACGAATCAGAACCAAACGACAACGAAACATTGTTCTCAATAGACAGACATATCACATCAGAAATTTATTTTCAATTTTCAGACATCCATTAATTAACTAATTAACTACATTTCTCACAATCACACAGCAATGTCATTACGAATGTGACGGAGGATAACGGGAATAACAGTATCCGGCGAGCTAAGCTGAGGAAGATGACCATCAGAGGGAATAACTTCAACGACGGATTCACATCCAAGATTGGCGTGAAGATACTCGGAGACGATGACTGGTACGGCTAAGTCCTTAACACTTTGAAGAATGTGACAAGGGACAGAGACAAAAGGTAAGATCTGTCTCATGTCACTTTGGAAAATGGTCTGAGCGACGGAAAGAGCAATGTCGGGACGCATGTTGAAGAGTGTTCTGCTGAATTCTTGAACGGCGATTGAGTCTAAGTCTCCACCGACGGCGAGTGGAGCGAAACCTAAGCACCACGCTTTGTAGTTGCTTCGTATCGCTTCGAAGAGTTGGTTTAAGTCTTCTTGTTCGAATCCACCTTGGTAATCAACATCGTTTACGTATCTATAAACGTACCAAAACAATATAATTATGTTTAAAATTAACAAAAACAAACGGATAGTTGTGAGCACCGTTATCAATTAAAATAATACTATGTGAGCACCGTTATCAAAAAAAAAAAAAAGTGTAAGCAAAACCTTACTAAAATCAAATAAACAAATGGGTATTTCTAGGTTTTCTGATCAAAATTAACAGATTTATTGATTTGAGAAATAGGATGACTTAGGCAAAGGAACAGAGAGGCACTAGGTCAAAATTATGTCAGAATGAGAAATAAATATGCAAAAAAATCTCTATGAATTTAACAAACAAAAAAAAAAAATCTCTATGAATCTTCTTCACCCGAAATAATAGAAAAGCAAACTTAATTCTGTAAATTTAAGGACTTTTAGGTGATTTAAAAACAAAATATCTTAATATTTAATAGATTTTATGAAATCAGACAAGAGAAGGAACAGAGAGACTTCTTTTGTCTAAATTATGTCAGAATGACATAAAAAGCAAAAAAAGAAGATTTCTATGAATCGAGAAAAAGAGATGATGATGAATCTACCTTGGAGAAGCAGAAATCATGACGATTTTGGAGAAGAGATCAGGACGGTTAAGAGAAGCCAAGATACCAATCATGGCAGAAACAGAGTGACCAACAAAGATACATGACTCAATCTTGAGATCTTCTAAGATTGCAATCAAATCGAAAGAGTAGCCTTCGAGATTTGAGTAACGATCGAAGTCAAAATAGTCAGGGTTTGTCGTACCGGCTCCCATGTTGTCGTAAAGCACGATGCGGTAATCTTCGACCAGATGTGGAACCAGGTGTTTCCATACTGACTGGTCCGTGCCGAACCCGTGACCTAACACGATCGTAGCTTGATCTCCTGAACCAATCACCTTCACGTTGTGAGCTTCCTCTACCACACCCATCTCTTTAAAGATTCTTCTCTGGTTTTTTTTTTTTCCGTAAAGATTCTTGTCTGGTTTTTTTCTTGTTATATCTCTTAACCAGCTAATTGAGAAATTATGATATTTGTGATATTTTAAAGTGCTTGGTATTTAAAAAAAAAAAAATCAATAAAAATCTCTTCTCTCTCTCTTTTTTTTTTTTTTGTGCGTGTGTGTGTGGTAATTAAATGCTGGCATTTATTTTTATTTGAAATATTGCGATTTATAGTTGGAAAAAGAAAGTGACTGTTTGTTGGATTGTCAAACATCATTTGATAATTAAAAAAAACATTTTGAATCAAGCCCAAAAATAATTCATGTCTTCTATGCATAATGATTCATACGTAACAAATTACATGCATTTCTGTGAAAGAAAATTAGTTTCAATCATTCAATATAGTTTATAAAAATTTTCATTCAAAAACATTTTTGTTTCTCCTTAAATTATGTAAAGAGGACATTAATTATTCATAGAAGGCCATGGTTAGTATAGGACCACGTACAAACTCACTTCACCATAATTTAAGTTGCTTACTATATCTATTAAAGGACAAGGCCCATTAAAAATTTAAGGCCCAGTTAGATTAATTTGGCTCATCTCTTCCGTAATACCGTTGTTAATGTTGACCAAAGCTCGTGATGACGTGGCGGGAAATCGTGAAACCACGTGTTGTCGGCGTGCCGTTACCCTTCCCCTTCCTGTTTCCGTTGCCACCTGAGAGAACTTCTTAGTGACATGACGATTCTCGCCGGATTGATACGACGGCGGTTTAGTAGATTGGTTCCGGTTACGATTCCGGTTCAATTGAATTACGGATTCGTACCGAGCCAAAGTACTCGGTTGCTGAGCGGCGAGGCTGAGTCGAATCGGAACGAGTTTCCGGTGGAGAACGCGTACGTTATCTTGAATGTCTCCGAAACCAGCTCAATCGCAGAGATCAAAGCATCATTTCGCAGACTCGCCAAAGAGACTCATCCTGATCTGATCAAGTCAAAGAACGATCCATCTAATTCCATACGCTTCGTTCAGATTCTCGCTGCTTATGAGGTACAGTGAAAAAACCTTGATTTTGTGATAGTATAGCTTAAGTGAAGTGTCTGATGAATGATATATGATTTGTGGTGATGATGCAGATTCTTTCAGATTCTGCAAAGAGAGCACACTATGATAGATATTTGCTATCTCGGAGAATGGTAATGACGAGACAATCTAGACAAGGGTATATGATTCACTAGGTATAAAACACGATTGACATTGAGTCAAGAGATGGAAGTAGTTGAATGGTTAAAGTGGTATAGAGAAGCAATACATGATATAGTATTGGAGAAGAGAGTGGCAAATGGTACAGGTTACTTAGATGAATTGGAAGAAGACTTTTATTCGGCTATACGAGCGCGTACTTTGGACCTGATAGTTGAATCTGTGGAGCTTCTTCCTGATTGTTTTGAAGCTGAGGAAAGGTCTGTGTATGATACACGAGAGGTTTTGCATTTGGTTTCAGGACGAGATCTTTTTGGTATGGTTTGCTTGGTTGATAACTTCCTTGAGCTTTCTTCTGCTTGCTCCAAGAAATTGGCTTTGTCGTCATTTATGGATCCGGACCTGGGTCAGGCAGTTGAGAAAGGCAAGTATGACATGATGTCTGATGAAAGGATTGGTCTTCAGATATCTCATATACAATCTTCGAGAAGTAAAAACCATGTTTCAGATGCATATAAAGATATTCAGCTGCATGTTTCTGGAAGAGTTGTTGCTACAGCCATTAGGGTTCCCCCAAAAGGGTATAATGAAAAGAAACCAATTGAGGGTGATCACGATCTCATACACGTTTTCCTCAATTCAGATGAAGGATCTAATCATGAAACTGAATCGTCACCTGGAAATGAAAGTGGAGCCAGACTTCTTGTTGGAACTATAAGTGGTCTTGGGACAAGCCCAGATGAAGGTTCATGTTATGTCCATGATGGGAATGGTTTTAAGACTCATGTGATAATGAAACATAGGACATTTCTGGTTTGTGACTCGTATGATCTTGCATTTCTTTTTATGTATCCTTTGCAAATTACAACATGTACGTTTTTCGGGGCATTGGTCTGTGATGCATATAGAGATAAGCTCTGCTAGTTATTTGATGGAATAAGCATACATGAAAATTCGTCATCCACACTCTACAGGTGAGGCATTTGCACTGGTACAAAATTGGGGAAAAGGTTTCCATTTGCGAGTGTAGATGCAGTAGGGCGAAATTACCACCAAACAAGTAAGCCAAATATTATTTTTGTTTTATTTCAGTTCTGGCTCACTTTTAACAAGGATTGGACAGCTGTGTCTCGGTTTTATCTTCAATAGAATGCAATTGACTAAATTGATATATTGAACACAGAATTCTGTAGTTGCCTTTGTTGAAATACTGAAGTAGTCAGTGATCTTGGTATTGAAGATGTTATGAACTTATGACTCTGATCTCTAACGTAGCCTTTATCCTTCTTACCTCAGTGACTAAAACCATAATTGCATGGATGTGAAAACAGGTTTTGGTTGTTTGAGCCTCGTTGTGGTTTGCATGACGTCGGAGGATGGTATGTTGAAACTTATGGGAAAGATAAAAAGAGCAGGACGGTCTTGGCACAAAGATTCTGGGATGGACTGGAAGAGGGGAGTACACTGGATGGGTAAACTTATTATACATATGAAGAGAAAGCAACTTAAGATATTCTACTGGCTATAGCTTAAAATGAGGAGTGGTACAGCTGTTCGATAGAAATCACTTCCGATCAAGATATTTTTGTAACCTTGGCGTTGACCACATTGTTTCTCAGTCATCTTGAGTCTGCTTACCTCTCTTTCCAATGACCTTGGAGAAAGGGGGTCAAGTCTTTGTATTAGTTGTTGTTTGTGAAGTAATCTAACTTATATATGACCTTTTGCCTTCTACAGGAGACTGCACCCTGGTATCTACTTGCTTACACTAGCATATCGAACTCTTGATCTTGAAGATGAAAAGAGAAGGAAACGGTCAATGTTGGAGATCATCGAGGCACAGCTATCTAAAACGTTGGATTGGTGTAAAGAATTGGTTAGAAGAAAGGGCCTTGGAACTTAACGTGGTTAATCTTCTCCCTTTCCGAGTGAAGATCCAAAGATGATTGGCTTTTCAATTTCCAAATGGATACAAGCACTTCCATGCCTGAGGTTGTGGTGAACAAAGGCTTCTCTAAAGGTTGATAACTCTCTTTATTGTCTTCTTTCAAGGTTCGCAACCGCAGGATCTGTAAATTTCAAGTGGGTTCTCTTTCCCACCAACAGAGTCAAGTTTACACAAGAAGGTGGTTTTCAGACCAGAAGGTGGTTTTAAACCCAGAATCGACGGGACAAGAAGAAACTGACTTCTCACAAGAACTAGTGAAACATATGCTGTGTGTTGGGGAATGAATCATGCTAGTTTTAGATCATGTGTACTATATAGAACTTGGTTTCAAAGTGATTCATAGACTTGTAAAAAATATTATATCTAATGAAATTAAACTTCTCAGACGAAACTGACTTCTCACAAGATACAGTGAAACATATGTTTTGTGTTGGGGAATGAATTATGCTAAAGAACTTGGTTTCAAAGCGACTCATTAGACTTGTACAAAATATTATTATCCAATGAAACTAGACTTGGTTCTTCAGCTTCTTCGTCTTCTTACAGGCCTTAGCTCCTAAGCAGATTCAGTTCCGGTCAACAAAGCTTTGGCCGGAGGGATCAAAGCCACAGCGAAGCGTTCATCCTTGGAGTATTTCTTTCGTAAAGCTCCCTTAGTACTACTCTCACTCCCTTCTTGTTGTTGTTGCTTCCATTGCTGATACGCCAACAGCTTTGCACAGTCCCTGTTTCATCATTACAAACAATCAAGATCCAACCACAGACACAAAATCCATATGATGCAAATGAAAAAAAAAGGAACTTTCTTACATGAGCTGAGTCTCGGAATAGCCAGTGTGATGCTTGAGAGTGTTGGTCCAAATGGGAACTTGGCGAAGAGAAGATCTTGCTGCGTAGATTGCAGAAGCAGCTACCATAGATGGACTGAACATTATCATTGTATCGTAATGCATTACACCTAACTCTGCCAAATAGTGCACCATATTCTCCATCTGAAGACAAAAAAGGCACTTGAATGTTCAATATAATGTAATGTAAAACCATGGAAGATACCAGAAAAATGCTCTCTTACCTTTTCGTCTGCAATGGAAGCTTTGATGAAACGAGCCAGGAAGACATAATGAGTCGGAACTGTCAAGTACCACTCAAGTGCAGACAGTATTGTCTTCTCCATCACCAGAATCTGTTTGTGACTGTATGCATGGTCTGCAATATCAGCTAGATCCTCCACCTGCAGAAATATTATGTTTTGATTTAGCTGAAGACAAGAAGAATCAAAATCAGAAGGTTCAAAAGTTCTCTGTTTCTTATCACCTGTGGTGGCCAAATTTCTTCGTACTTGGATGACATGAGAAGAGCACTGAGACCAACTAGCTGCAATTCTTTTCGAGGCACTGGCTTCACCGACAAGAACCGATCCAGAATGTTCACAGTGAGGTAAAATGTTTCCGGGTTTAGCTCGAATTTGACATGGACATCTATCAACCACTCCACCAGAATCAATCTCATCTTTTCATTAATCTCAGGCTGAGATCCCATGTAATCACGTGGTCGCCATTCACTCTGACAATCCAAATGATAAAACTTAGACAATTCATACAAGTTTCACAACACAATGTTGCAAGGAAAGATTCATGAATAGTATACAAACCTCAACAGACTTGTAGAAACTGTAGATATCTTCCACATACTCCACAGCTGCAAGGTCATTCTTAACATCAGCAGAATCGATATCAACAATCTTTTCTTTCTCTTTCTTCTCTAAACCACAAGCAGCCTGAAAAAGCAAAAGAAGAAAATTCAGAACAGACCAAAACATTTTCTTACGTCACATCAAGAATCATCATTTCACAAGTACCCCTACCTTGCTTCTAGCGGTAAGAACAGATGTGTAAGTGGTCGCTTTCTTCTTAGTGGCCTTTTTCTCTCGGGCAGCAACTAAACCAAGTTCTTCATCACTGTCTGAACTTATCTCAATGACTTCTATAACCTTTGATTTCCCAGCTACTTTCTTTGGCTTTGGTACAGCGATTCTCTTGACTACAGGTTTCTGAAGGTCAAAGAGATAAAGGTATGACATGAGTATATCAAATCTAACAAAGAAACCTAATTGTTCACCAAAAGGCAGGGAAAAAGGAACAAACTTTGAGATTATCCTCCACAAGAAGTGTGGCATTTTGAGAGCGTGTACGAGGACGATGATTGATCTTTGCCGGTTCGTTGTTCTTTGGGTAATTTCCTCGAACAACATTACCTATATCACCAAGAACTTGACGGTTTCTTCCTTTCGCAACGTTTTTGCCATCTACCACAACAACATCATCTTCTACACAACAAAACAAAACCAAAGTTCACAACTTTAGATTCAATTTGCAACAATCAGCCATATCAAATTAAGAAAAATTCCAGTCAAAGTCACGAACTTTAAACTTGATTCGCAACAGTTTCGTTTCGTTGTTCATAGATAACAGCAAGAAACGAACAAAACCCAGATAAAAACGGAAATCGAAGATCACAAAAAAAAAATCAATCTTTGTCCGTAAAAACCCTAAAAAAAGGAAAAATCAAAGATCTTTCTCTTACCCGTGGATTGTTGAGGAACAATCGAACGAGAAGTCATCATCTTGTTTGGGTTCTCTTCTGTCTTCGTCTTCTCTTTCTCTCTCAGACTAAAAATCTCAGATTTGTCGTAGAAAAAGAGTAAGTAGTGGGGCGTCTACTATAAAGGAGGCTTCTTGAGGAAGATGAGCCGTTTTATGAGAAAAAAAAAAAAACAAATTAAGAAAAAAAAACCCAACGGTCTGATTTTTTTTGAAAAATGAGAGGTCGTGGGCCTGTGTTAAGACTTTAAGCCAATCGGGCTATTTCACTTTTGAGATTGGCCCAATTCTTCTTTTTATTGACTGTGAAGAATATAACATATAAATAAATAAAAAATGTTAGTCTCATTGAGTTAAAAAGTAAAATAATTTTAACTAAAAATGTTTCCATTGTCTTCTTCAGATCTAAGAAATTTTTTTTTTTAACAGAACAAGTGAGGTCTCCTTTAATTTAGCCATTGTCCTTGATGGTCTAGCTCGTGAGAATTGTAGCAACATCCGGCATAAACGCAGCATCATCATTCATTTTCCTCCATCATGCATGTAATATCCATTGAGGGAGTTGGGTAAGATTTACTTCTTTCAGGTTCTGGTTCTTACTTCTGGAGATTCTTTGTCACTGTTATGATCTTGATTCTCTCAGGAATCTTTGGCATCATCTCATGGTTCCCAATGTGGGTTTTTTTTGTACTCCCGGGTTTATCATGTCAATGTATTCGTTATTGAGATCAAGTAAAAACACACCTTGTGAGGAAGAGATTGAAGAATGTCTTGCAGGAAATCTATGTCCTTGTACTGGTTATAGCCCGATTGTTGATGCGTTTCGGGTATCTGCAAAATCTGATGATGCTCTGTACAGTGGTGTATCTTCACTTAAGCCTTCAAGATGGTTCTACTATTTGCCCATCTACTGGCAAACCATGCTCTTGTTGATCAAAAACAACAATTGAAGTGGCCAGCTGTTGTAATGAAGATAGATTTCAGTCAATCTCTTATTGTGATATAGACTGGGCTAAGTACCCTTAAAGGTAAGGGGAAATGAGGGGGCTTACCTGGTATAGACCCGTAAGTCTTCAGAACTTGCTTGAGCTCAAAGCAAATTATCCGGATGCAAAACTACTGGTAGGTAATACGGAGGTGGGAATCGAAATGAGACTGAAGAGGTTATTACAGTATGTCTGTTTCTCAAGTCCCAGAACTCAAGGCATTGAATGTCAGTGACAATGGGGTAGAGATTGGTTCAGCTTTGAGACTTTCTGAACTCATGAGGTTATTGAGGAAGGTATTAAAGGAGCGTCCTGCACATGAAACAACAGCATGCAAGGCTTTTATTGAACAGCTCAAGTTGTTTGCTGGGACACAAATAAGAAATGTTGCTTGCATTGGTGGAAACATCTGTACAGCTACTCCAATATCTGATTTTAATCCTTCAAGAGCAGAGTTTCGGATAATCAACTCCAATGGAGATGTTAAGTTCATACCTGCAAAAGATTTCTTCCTTCACTTTGATCATAATGCATATTTTGAGCAGTACATGACCATATAGGCATCAGCTAGTTTAAGATATAAAATGATAATGTTACTCTGCTTATGCCAATATTGGTGGTTATGATTTATATATATTGGTGCCAGAAGTATGTGTGAAACAGTGAATGTGTCTCATGTTCTTGGTCTTCCAATGTCTAAAGTGGTATGCAAAAGACTTGGCGGTGGCTTTGGTGGTAAGGAAACAAGATCAGCTTTCATTGCTGCTGCAGCTTCTGTTCCTTGCTACCTATTGAATTCATACTGGACAGAGATGTGGGCATGATGATAACTGGTCATCGCCATAGTTTTTTTGCTTGATATGACTGCTCTCAAAGCCACCTTGTTCTTTGAATTTTGCTTTCTGACTAGTACTGTGATCGGTTCTTGCATTACTTGCTTCTTCTCTAATCATAACACCCAAATGTTTGCTTCTTTATAATACTTGTTTTGGAGGTTGGAATCAAAGGAAGCATCGGATTAGATGGGTTTTCAACATTCACTTGGCTATTTTCGATTTGATTTCTCTTCCAAGTAGTACCTCTGGGTTTTTATGGGTTTACATTGGTTTTGAAATTAGAACCCCTTTAGAAATTGTAGACACGCGCTCAACGCGAGATGGGTGAGAGTGGGTGTGAAATCGCAAGATTGGTAAAAGTGGGGTATGAAGTGGAGCTCTCTGATTGGCTAAAAAACTAAAAATAGTAGACATGTAGCTCCTCTCCTCCTCCTCTTCTTATTAAAGAAAACTGGATTCAAAGAATCGCAGCTGAAGAAATCAAACAAAGTGAGTTGTATATTTTCTAAACATGTGAAAATTGGTATCTATTTTCAAGTGCAGGTATCTATTTGGCCAAGACAAAACTGTTATTGTTCTCTCTTATCATTTTTGTGGTCTCTTATCTAATAGGTTTCAAAGCTCTCACAAACTGTTATTGCTCTCTTGTCGTTTTGATTGCCTCTCATATGTATGGTGCTGCAGTTTTAGACGCTTGTGAGCATATTATAGCAAGAATGGAGCCTGTTGCATCTTAACACAATTTCAACACATTCCCTGAGGTATTCTTTCTTTCTTATTGCAATTTGATATAAACTCACAAGATTTTGATGCTCCTTTTCTCTTATCCCAGCCATTGATATTGGGCAAGTGCGCATTCTTCTCTCAATGTCCTAGGCTTTTAGCTGTTAGTTGGCTTTTTGAAATCTTTAGAATCCAAGAAAATCAGAAAGAAAAGTGTTGTGTCTGAAATCTACCATTTTGCAGATACAAGGAACGTTTGTACAAGGACTAGGTTAGGTAGCTTTAGAAGAGCTCAAGTGGGGAGATGCAGCTCATACATGGATTAAACCAGGAGCTTTACTCACTTGCGGACCTGGAAACTACAAAATACCTTCCATTAACGACATTCCGTTCGAACTCAATGTTTCTCTTCTCAAGGTATGCTACCATAAGAAGAAGCTCTTTAAATTTTTTTTTGATAAAAGAAGCTCTTTAAATTGGTAGCAACACATTTGCAACTCATGAACCTGAGATCATACTTTGTTAAATAAATCAGGGGAATCCGAATAAATATGCAATACATTCATCTAAAGCAGTGGGTACTCAGGTGATACTCAAAGTTTTCAACTTTTCACCAAAGATAATGAAGTGTTTAACTACATAAATCAAATCCAGTAGTATACTAAAAGACATTAAGACAAATGAGAGAGACACTTTAATTTTCAGACAGCTTTAGGTTGGATTTGTTCGAAGTCGAAAACCTCAAACATGAGCCGCCGAACATCGGGTTTCCCGTAGATGGTGTAGGCGAGGCCGTGAATGGCTTGTTGAACAGCGGTTGTCGCCGGATTCCTAAGTCTCCGGTTATGTTCATACCGATCATGAACCTCCTCTGAGTATATTATAAAGTTGTGAAGACGTTTTTCTCTCAGATACCGCCCGCAGAATTTGTTCATTAATAGACGCCGATGCTTCTCTTGCAACCACTTCCCTGGTGCGTCCAAGTGCTTCATTAATAAACGTTCAGCCATTGCTATGTCCTGCATGATCCCGAGACGAAAAATCGGGTTATAAAAAGAAAGAAAAAGAACCGTTCTTTTGATCTTTTAAGATGAGAGATCGTTATACTCACCTGTATCTTCTGTCCTACGTATTCCAGCCGCTCAAAACAAAACCGCGGGTGTTCAAACTTATGCTTCGAAGGATGCAAGAAGCAGAGCTGTGTGATTTGAGGGAAGTGAAAGAAGGTTAGAGAAGGAAAGTACCATATCACATGACAAAGCCAGGGGTAACAGCTTTTGTACCTGTAACCCGAGTCCAAGTTCGATGTTTCTTGCTTCAGTTATCTCCTTGATTCTATCATTCATCGGTAAAGGGTATCCCAGGGTCTGCATAACTTTTGGTTTGCTATCAAAATCCCATATGTTCCCTCTGAAACGATGCATTCCCGGTGGAACACAAGCTCTGAATAGCCTCGGGTGTGCGAATAAAGCATCTTCAGGAGGCTGAAGCAACAGGAAAAAAATAAAGAAATCACTCTTCTTAGATAGACCAAAGAAGTAGACTGTGATTTTGTTATATCATAAAGTTTTATTTACCTTGTAAGTAGCAATATCTTGCCAACCTAGCTTTTTGCCTTCAAATTCAACAGAAACATAATCTACATCCTCGAGCTGTCTCCTGCTTCGCGGCTGACACTCATCAGCATCTGGATCCATCCCAAACACCTCAAAAAGTACACGATACACTTCCGGCATCCCATAGCATAGATAGATGGCACCAAACAAAGCCCAGAACACAGATCTAGCCATAACAAAACAAATTCACATGGATAAGTACTTGTCTCTTATGAGATATTGAGATGCACAGACACGTCAAGTTTCCAGTCATTTAGTTCAATCAAATGGAAAGCCCGACCTAGATAGTTAGCACCAGCTATCACAAAGACACACTACAAACAGAGAAGACAGATCTTTGATCAGCTGTTATTGGCGTCATAACAACTCATGGTGAGATTTGGGCTTACCTAAACACAGAATGTAAAACATATAACAAGTTCTTGAGAGAATGGAACAACATCTACTAGTTCCAACTACAGCAAAAGCGGATATCAACCCATATCATTGTCTTAACTCGTTAAACCTAAATCTCAGCTCAAAGCAACCAAACTATAGACTAACACTCAAGTGAAATCATCATCATCATTATCATCAAAGAAGAGAGAAACTTACTTAACCGGTGGCTCACGCTCTTTTCTAATCAACTTATCCATATCATCATAAGGAAAGATGAGATTTTGCAAGCTCGCTGCTTTAATCCATTTGGGGAGAAACCTCTTCCCAATCAAAGCAAACACTCTCTCCCTCATAGGTCCCGGAGATTCCCTCGGATACCTCTGCAAGAAAAACTCCGTAAGAGCAAGCTCAAGCACATACTGACCCAGAAACCAAAGCCTCGAGTGCCCATTCTTCACATGCCTTGCACGTGCCCTATCACACGACGGATGCTGGAACGCAAGATAAAGCAACGTATCAAAGTGTTTTGCCGGATTATCATCTCCTAAGCTCTCTGAAGGCTCCAGAGAATACCCTAAAGCTTGTTTAACTTCAAGAAGATACTCATCGATCCATGTTTTATCAGCGTTGTTAAGCTTTGACGATGGAAGACAAGAACTGAGTAAAGGAAACGACTTGAGAGACAATTGTGGACTATTGAGGAATCTCTCAGCTAATTTCTTATCATCTAATGGTGGTCTTAAGATGAATCGTTTCGGAGGAACCTTTTTCTTCGGTCCTGTCGCTGTTTTACGCTGTGCTAGCTCCTTGAGAAGACGTTGAGGACTGTCTCGTGGAAGACCTTGAGTCTCCGCAGTCACGGAAGCGCAAATTCGGAGATTTTGGAATCTGGGTTTTGTGAGAATCGATTGGAGTTTAGATGGGAACTGAGAAATTGAAGAAGAGAATGAGATTTCTGGTGCTGAAGATGAACAAATGCGAAGGAGAGAAGATGATGAAGATGAAGAACAAAGCTCCATTGCTTCTTTCTTTAGACTTTCCCCTAACAAAAATTAAGAAATCAAAATCATCAAATTCGACTAGAGAACAGACACGATTTTTGCAGCAGTAGAAGAAAATGGTAACGAAGAAGATTGCAGAGTTCCATGGATAAGGTCATGGCGGGGAGATTTTTTAATGGATTAAGGTTTCAGTGGAATCATTCAGACCCATATAAGCCCATTGAAAGGCCCAATAAGATAGCAAGACCCATTATTGTTGTATGCAGACTGATCACTAATATAAGCTTAGATTATTTCGCATTCTTTGCTCAACCCAAAAAAAAAATATATATATTATTATTATTTCGCATTCAAAATCAAATATGCTCAAATATATATTTGGATCTATAGCATGCATTCAAAATTTATATTTGTTTGCTTTGATCTTTGTATAAATTGTATCGTAGGGATGAATCATCTGTAATATCTAATATGTAATCATGACAATAGACTATAGATATAATCTATGATATTTTATATGATTGATGTCACACTTTGCAGGAAAAAAGATTCGTTATGTATTGGTCTTTTTTCTCTTAATCACATGGCACATGAGAATCCGATTTGTATGATTTAGAAAAACTATAGAAGACGTACAAGTCATCCTGTTTTGGTCTTTTCTACAGCCATTTGTATTATTTAATACAAACATATTATTGTTTACTTTTTCATGTGCAACACGTACGGGACTACGCGTGTTTGTCTAAGTAATCTAATAAATTAAATCTACATCTAATCACTACAAAAAAAATTGAATATTCTTACGAAAAAATTGTGACCATTTTTTCCGTAAGAAGATTGTGACCATTTACATACTAAATTGTGACGTATATATTTCGTCATAAAAATGTTACAATTTCGTTATAAAATTGTGACTGAATTGAAAGTAACCAATTTTTGTCACTAATTATGTCGAATTTGTTACAAAATATATAGTCACAAATATAAGTACGGATTTGCGACCAAATATGGTAACTAAATTATACGATTTTTGTGACTAAATTTACGTCACGTCTAGTTACAAGCGTTTTGTAACTACCCTGTCACAATTTGTCACTATTTTTGTGACTTTTGCGTTTGGTCATAGATTGTGGCATATAATTGTTACCATTTTTGTAACAAGAACAAAAACGTGTGAACCAAAAGTTAAACCGAATTGCTGGTTCGTCTGAACCTTCTCATTGGAATAAACATTCTCAAGGGAGATTTGGAGATTGTAAGAACGTAAAAAGAAAGATTTAGAGATTGTAAGTTTCAATGGACAAAACGAGACTTCAATAAACCTGCATACATCCTTTCTAAGCAACAAATTCCTCAAGATTCACATTATTATTTTCATTCTTTGGTTCTTTTTGTAATCTCAAATGCTCTCCACTATAACTTTGTCTTTTTAATTAATAAAGAGAACGTTGATGGCAAAAAAAAAACGAAAATAGCTTCAATATTGGACATAAAAAAATGAAAATACATAAAAATTTGAAAAAATTAAAAATGACATAGAAAAAATTTAAAATTATTACTCAGATTCGTCACTAGTTAATTCGATATCAGAATTTCCATCTTCAGCATCTGATTCAACTTCGGCTTCTACTACTGGATCATCAAGATCTTCTGGTTGGCCATCTACACATGATAGTGTCTCGAAGTACAATGAATCAGATTCAACAATAGAATCATCGTTATCATGTTGCATTGCAGTGAAATCTAGATTTTGGTTGATCAATACTTTCCCTCTCGGTTGTATCATAATTGCTGCTTCCCATTGTTGATCTTTTTTTGGCCGAGTCATCCGCGGATATGGAACATAACATACTTGATCTGCTTGTGAAGCCAAAACAAAAGGATCGTACTCTTCATAATGCCTTTTAGCATTAATGTCAATAATCCCTGACTTGTTTCTTCGTATACCTCTCCCAATTTTTGAATCATACCAATCACATTTGAAGACCACAACCTTAAGATCAACAGGTCCAGGATAAGAAAGCTCATAAATCTCTCTCAATATTCCATAGAAATCAGCGTCTTCACTTGAGCTAGAAGATGTTGTACCTCTGACACAAACTCCATAATTGGCATTCTTTTTGTCCTTTCCATGATCATATGTATGAAATATGTATCCACGACAAAAATACATTGGCCAACAAGTGACTTTAACCATTGGACCTTGAACGAGACCCATCAACCACTTTGGATACGAATTATCCTTCCAAGTATCCTCCACCTGATTCCATATAAACAACACATACTATATTATAAGCTATCAAGTATGTATCGCATATATAAAAAAGTATCTTACATGTTTTTTTA